CCTAGGCCCGCCCCCCCGGCAGCTCCGGGCGCCCCTCCGGCCAGCGCTCCGGGCGGGTCGCGGGGCTCACCTGACCCCGCGGAGGCGGCGCGGCAGCCGCACGAGGCCCACGTCCCTCCGCGGGAGCAGGAGGCGGGAGGGCGGCGGGGGCCTCTCCCGGGGGGCTCGCCCCGCCTCCGGGCCCTCCACTTCCGCTCTAGGAGCCCCGCGCTCCGTCTCCTTAACCCCCTGGACGCCGAGCGGCAGGGCCCGTGCGCTGCATCTGCCCCGCACGGGCCTCGGGCTTCCCCTCCGCGGCTGCCGCGGCGGCGCTGCTGGGCTCGGTCCCGGAGGTTTTCCCGCCTTTGGTTGGCGCAGCCTTCCTTGCGGCTATTGCCGCGCCGTTCGCGGGCGGCCGGGCGGGCTTCTCCCCGTCGCGCTGAGCGCAGGGCCAAATAAGTCAAAATGGTGTGATCCTTTCCACTTGTGTACCAAGGAAGATGTTCCGAAGGAGGGGGGAGGAAGCGGTGCTATTCCATAAAACCGCAGGAGGATGGGTGGGGTGGTATGATCTGCCCTTCGTTTGAGCCCGTTATCAAGTGCCAAGCAGATTTCCCTGGACTGGTGCCTGGTCAGTGCCAGCTACATTTCAAGGATGCTGACAGGCTGCTTTCTAGAAAAGAGGGTTTTTCTCAGGCCTGGTTATGAGTCCGTGATTGTGTGATTTAACCAATGAAAGCTCTACCTTTTGGTTTGTGCATCAACCTGGCTCCACTTGTGTCATGATTTTTCTCCATTTGTCTAATAGAATCATTGTTCATCGAAGATTCAGCAATTGCCAGCAACTGGCATTTATGTAGCTCATATCATCAGCGAATCTTCTAGTGTGTAATATGAGTTCTTTCCAAATTAATCAAATTCTCTCTTCTAAGTACATTCATGGCATCCACATTTGAAGCCGTTTTAGATTTTTTCTGTCTTTTCCTATTTATTCGATTTAGTTTCCGGCCAATAGCTGGAAACATCCTATACTTAGGATATGTAAAGGATATTACAATCCACTTCCATCACACTATACTTACGATCTTCAGTATTTGATAAAACAAATGTTTAAGAAGAATCCCAAGTATCAGTTAGTACAATTCTTGCAAGAAACTGCCTGGCAAAGCACATCGGAAATTTTGTTCAGCAGATGTATTTGCATACTTACACTCTGGAAAACTCATAGTATTTGGGTTCTTTTGGTGGGAGGTTCAGGTGATTTTGGTCCTGTCCTGGACAGGGTTGCACTTCCTCTAAAGGACAGGGTCCGCAGCTTAGGAGTGCTCCTCAACCCGGAGCTGTCCCTGGAGGTTCAGGTGACGGCGGTGGCGAGGAGCGCCTTCCTTCAGCTTCAGCTGATCAAACAGCCGTGTCCTCACCTGGATGAGCATTGCCTAGCCTAGCAATGGTGACACATGCTCTGGTAACCTCCCGGTTGGACTACTGTAACGCACTCTATGTGGGGCTGCCCTTGAAAGTGGACTAGATACTTCATTGGATACAAAATAGAGCTGCCAAGTTGCTGACCGGCCTGCTGTTATTCTCATAACATGGTCCTCTATCAGCTTCACTGGCTCCCAACTGAAGTCTGGGCCCAATGCAAGGTGCTAGTATTAACCTACAAAGCCCTAAACAGCTTGGGATCAGGATACCTGAAGGATTGTCTCCTTCCCTATATGCCCTCATGCCCCTTAAGATGGGCGGGGGAGGCCTTGCTCCGGGAGCCCTCCTTGAAGGAGGTACGGAGGGTGTCAATCTGGAGGAGGGCCTTCTCTGCGGTGGCGCCTGGACTATGGAATGCGCTCCCCAGAGAGGTTCTCCTGGCACTGACTTTATACTCTTTTCAGCGCCAGGTAAAGACCTTTTTATTCAGCCATCATTTTAATAATTAAGGTTTTTAGATGCTTTTAAGATCTGTCCACAGTCGCATTTTCTTTTTCTTCCTTTCTTTAGTTTTATTAAGTGCTGTTTTATGTTGGCTTAATATCTGTTTTAAAGATTGTATTATTATAGTATTTTATTTTAAATCAGTGTAAGCTGTCCTGAGCCATTTGTGAGAAAGGACAGGATATAAATGTTTTATTAAATTAAAAATTAAAATTATTTTATATAGACATATTATCATCTTTTAATACAGTGGTACCTTGGCTCACAAACTGTTCCAGGATGCTGGTCGTGACCCAAAGTGGTCACGAACCAAGTTAAATTTCCCCATAAGCTTCAATGTAAATAAGGTTAATCCGTTCTGTAACTTTTTAATCCGAAAAATGTGAAGCAAAGTGACAAACAACAACAAAGATGGCGGCCATCTCCCCACCCCCATCCTGAGCAAGAACACGGCCATTGTGTCCCCCCGCAGCACGACCATGATTGCGCCTGTCATCCCGACACGCTGGGGAGGGGGAGAGACGGGTGCGAATGGGGCGCACTGGGGGAGGGACAGGCGCAAACAGGGAGCATTGGGGCAGGAAGAGACAGGTGCGAACAGGGTGTGCTGGGGGGGGGAGAGATGGGCGCAAACGGGGTGCACTGGGGGGGGAGAGCCGGGCACGATCACGCTGGGGGTGGGGAGATGGCCGAGATCACGGTTGCCACCCAATGCGGAATTTGCGACCTGAGTTAAATTGTTAATGAGATTTTTGTTCGTGACCCGATTTGGTCATGAACCGGAGCATTCGTGAGCCGAGGTACCACTGTATTAAGACCTGAGGGACATAGTTAATCTTATTTTAGTGGCTGCACATAGGAAGGCAGGAAGTTGCCTTATACAAGGTCAGACTATTGTCCATCTACCCTGGTATTGTTTCCTTTGGTAGCAGCTTACAGGAGGAGAGAAGTCTTTTACATCACTTGGTACCTTGCTCCTTCGTTAACCGAAGAGAACAGAAGAGGATCCTTCTGCAGGCAAAGCGTGTTCTTTGCCACTGAGCTACATGGTACCTTCAACAGGAGGAGACTTTAACTTCACAAAAAAGAGTTAAAATTTAAACACTGTGGTCAGGATCCAGAGGGCTTGTCTGATCCTCCCTCTCGTTGCTGCTCCTGAGATCAGGAGCACTCGGGGGGGAATTCAACGTGGCATGAAGAGCTGCAGTTCAAATTGACAGCCCGTTCTCATCCTGGCGAAAATTTCAAAAAATACTTTTCTGCTTACATGCAGATCTGTTTGGAACTTGCCATTGTTTGTGACTACCCTTATGCTCTGTATTTTGAATATTCACGAGAACATACACTATTTTCCACTCGTTTTAATTGCACTATGCTCTCTCATGCCTTATAGCATGATATATACTTGCACAACAGTTCATGTTCGCAAATTAATTTAAAATATTTGCTGATTACAACTAAAGTGCCTGGAGTCTGTGTATTTTGTTTGATTGGGCTGCGGTTGTAGAATGCTTACATGGAAATAAGTCTTATTGAACTCAGAGCAGATTACTTTTGAGCCGGCTTGTATAGAATTGCACTTTTAATTGATAAATGTTCTTTTTAAATTTTTATTTTTTTAACTTATACAAATACATAGAAGAAAATGTAGAATGGAAAAAAACTAATATAAACATAACAGACTAAAGTGAACAAATAAGCAAAGTTGCCAAGGGAATTATAAACAAATACAGCCTATGTAATGCATCCCCCAAAACTGACTCTCTTCATATCTTCCCACACTCTATTAGAGTTTGCAAAACTTTAAAAAACAGTATTCTGTACATCAACAGGTTTTTCAATCAGTTCAAGTTCTATTGCTTTCATTTTCCTTTCCAAACTCCACTGAGCTCCCATTAGTCTTGCTAAGAACAATAAAATTTCCATTTGTCATTATATTCTTCTAATGGTCTTGTTATGTACGTGATTAATTAGATTAGCAGAATATGCAGTGATGGCAAAGCCATTCTCCATCGTCAGGATTTGCCAATTCCAACTTCACTCACCTTTCATTAGCATTTAGAATCCAATCTGCAATATCGAATCCTACTTCATTACAGTATAGCTTCAAATTAAGTACAGTGGTACCTTGACTCACAAACTTAATCAGTTCCACGGCTCTGGTTGTGACCCAAATTAATTGTGACCCAAGTCAAATTTCCCCATAAGGTTCAATGTAAATAAGGTTAATCTGTTCTGTAACTAATTTTTTTTTAATCAGAAGAATTTGAATCAAATTGACAAAGAACAACAAAGTAACCAGGCACTGTACAGTACAGTGGAGAACACTAACCTGGGTGGAGGGGGAAGTTATTATTTTGAGGGAGAGTCCCCCTCCATAAGGACACTGGGGAGATCTCCTTCAGGGGTTTCCTCTCTTCTTTGTCTCTTAGCTGCAGGGTCAATTTTGGCGAAAAATCTGTCTATAGTCACTTGTTTTTTCCTGCTCTGCATAACCCTCCGGAAATGAGAGACCACGTTATCGTTCATCAGATTCAACACTCTGTTTGTTACAGTTACGTTGGGGTGGTGCTTCTCAAAGAAATCCTGGCACTCATTCCATTTTTTCATAATGGATTGTATCACATCACTGCTAACTTCCTCCCTGTCTTCCTCTTCCTCAGTGGAATCCTCCTCAGCAAGCGCCTTCTGCTGCTCACTCTGGAGTTCAGCGAGTTCTTCTGCCGTCAGCTCCTCTATGTCTTCCCTGCACGAACATAACTACGATCATGGCCATCTCCCCTCTCGGGGGTGGGGGGAGATGGTCACGATCGTGCTGGTTGCGGGGCGGGGAGATGGCCAAGATTACACCCATCTTTCCTGCAGGAGCGCGCCCGTGATCACGCACGTCTTCCCTGCATGAACGCAACTGCGATCGTGGCCATCTCCCCACTCGGGGTGCGGGGTGGGGAGATGGCCGCGATCTTGGTTGCCACCCAATGTGGAGTTCGCAACCCGAGTCAAAATTTTCATGAAATTTTTGTTCGTGACCTGATTTGGTTGTGAACCAAGGCGTTTGTGAGCCGAGGCACCACTGTACGTCAAGGCCTCCTTTCTCCTTTCCATCCTGAAGGATTTTAAATTGTGATCCCTGGGTTCTTGCCATTCCAAATAAAACGATTTAATTGCAACTGCCAATCTTGAAAAACTTTTTCTGGTATCGCAATTGGTAACACCTGGAAAAGAAAGGTCAGTTTAGGTGACACATTCATTTTTATAACTGAAATTTTCCCCAACCAAGATGCTTTTAGTTTAGTCTATTTTTGTAAGTCCTTTTGAATTTTCATCCAAGTTGTTTGAAATTTGTCTTGAAAAAGTGCATCATTATGTCCTGTGATGTTTATCCCTAAATCTTTGACTGGGTTTTAAGTTATCTGACATCCTGATAATTGTTTTGCTTTCTTCTTCCAGCTTTGTTACAAATATTAATATAATTTTGGGTTTTTTAAGATTGATCATATATCCTGAATAAAGTCCAGATTATTCGACTTGTTCCATTCTGTGCTGTATGGACTGATGTGGAGCCAAAATGCTCAAGATTATATCATCTGCATAACATTTTATTTTATATTTCCCTCCACCTGTTTTAAAGCCTTTGATTCTTGGATCCTGCCTTATCTTTTTACCTAAGATTTCCAGTACAGGATTAAATAAGAGAGGTGATAGTTAATACACCATTGAGTAAAATCTTAGCATGTTGTCTAGCATGAATTGTGTGCATCCAATTCAAAAAGCTTGAGCCACGGGCTAAATATGGGAGGCTTTTCATTTAAAAAGACCAAGCCACATTATCAAAGGCTTTTCTGCATCCAAAAAAATAAATACAGCTTTTTCCCTTTCCTTCCTAACCCATTCAATTTCATCAATCAAGCACTATTAGAAATTTTGTGGGGAGTCAAATGCCAAAGATTGTTCGAACTACCGCATCATTGCACTCATTTCACATGCTAGCAAAGTGATGCTCAAAATCCTACAAGCCAGGCTCCAGCAGTACGTGGACTGAGAACTACCAGAGGTACAGGCAGGGTTTCGAAGAGGCAGAGGAACTAGAGATCAAATTGCCAACATACGCTGGATCATGGAGAAAGCTAGGGAGTTCCAGAAAAACATCTACTTCTGCTTCATTGACTATGCTAAAGCCTTTGATTGTGTGGATCACAACCAATTGTGGCAAGTTCTTAAAGAGGTGGGAGTACCAGACCATCTTATTTGTCTCTTGAGAAACCTGTAAGTGGGTCAAGAAGCAGCAGTGAGAACTGGACATGGAACTACAGATAGGTTCAAACTGGGAAAGGAGCACAGCAAAGCTGTATATTGTCCCCCTGCCTATTTAACTTATATGCAGAGCACATCATGCAAAAGGCTGGGCTAGATGGATCACAAGTTGGAATTAAGATTGCCGGGAGAAATATCAACAACCGCACATATGCAGATGATACCACTCTAATAGCAGAAAGTGAAGATGAACTAAAGAGCCTCTTGATGCGGGTGAAGGAGGAGAGTGCAAAAGTTGGCTTGAAACTCAACACTACGAAAACTAAGATCATGGCATCCGATCCTCTCACTTCCTGGCAAATAGATGGGGAAGAAATGGAGGTAGTGACAGATTTTATTTTCTTGGGCTCCAAGATCACCGCAGATGGGGACTGCAGCCAAGAAATTAAAAGACCCTTGCTCCTGGGGAGGAAAGCTATGGCAAATCTAGATAGCATACTAAAAAGCAGAAACATCACCTTGTCAACAAAAGTGTGTTTAGTCAAGGCTATGGTTTTCCCAGTTGCAATGTATGGCTGTGAAAGTTGGACCATAAGGAAGGCTGAGCGCCAAAGAACTGAGGCCTTTGAGTTGTGGTGCTGGAGGAGACTCCTGCGAGTCCCTTGGACCGCAAAGCGATCAAACCGTTTAGTCCTAGAGGAGATCAGCCCTGACTGCTCTTTAGAAGGCCAGATCCTGAAGATGAAACTCAAATTCTTTGGCCACCTAATGAGAAGGAAGGACTCCCTGGAGAAGAGCCTAATGCTGGGAACAATTGAGGGCAAAAGAAGGGGGCGGCAGAGGATGAGGTGGCTGGATGGAGTCACTGAAGCAGTTGGTGTGAGCATGAGTGGACTCCGGGGGATGGTGGAGGACAGGAAGGCCTGGAGGAGTGTTGTCCATGGGGTCGCGATGGGTCAGACACAACTTTGTACCTAGCAAGCAAGCAAATATGGTTGGGAAGGGAATGAAGTGCTTGCCACACTTCAAGCATTTCTATGCATTTCCTCCTAAGTAACTATTGGCTTGATGAGAACAGAGAGAACGCTTGTCACTGAAGTGCTTTCTGCACTCCAAACAATGATTTTATTTCCCTCCTGTGTGCACTCTTGGATGAGAACTAAGGTGTGTCTTCAGACTGAAGCTTTTCCCACATTCAAACACCGACAAGGTTCTTACCTGGTGTGCATTCCTTGATGCTGGGTGAACTTGGCTGCAGTTCTTTCCAGAGTCTGAACAAGGACAGGGTTTCTCCTGCGTGGGTTCGTTACTGCAGATGAAGATGGGTATTGTGACCAGCTCTCCTTCTGCGATCCTGACAATGCCAGTTTCTCCCCTGTAATATTTGATGCTGAGTGAGACTTCTATTCCCACTGATGCTCTTTCAACATCTAAGCATCAATGTGGTTTCTCCTGCATGGGGGTTTTTTGATGGGAACAAAAATGATTCTGTCTGAAAGGCTTTTAATTTTCCAAAGAAAGAGATCATTTTCCCACACGAATACTTTGATGGGAAGTGACAGTTACTTTCCTACTGAAGCTCTTTGTACAGTCTAAACAATGAGATGGTATTCCACAGTGTGAATTCGTTGATGACACACGAGAAATGACTGAAGTCCTTTCCACATTCCAGACAATGATTAAGGTTTCTCTCCCCTGGGTACGTTCTTTTTTGGGGGGGTTGGCGGGGTCAAGTTTTTATTATTTTCGACCAATAAAACAAATAATCATTCAAAAGACATTCCTGGGTGAGTTCTTTGATGCCGAATGAGACTTACTTTCTGACTGAACCTCCTTCCACATGCCAGACAATGGAATGGTTTCTCTCCTGTGTGGGTTCTTTGATGCAAACTGCACTGTGTCTTACGACTGAAACACTTTCCACAGTCCGCACATGTAAATGGTTTCTCTCCTGTGTGAGTTCTTAGATGGCAACAAAGCTGGCTACTGTGACTGAATCTCTTTCCACATTCCAGACAATGATACGGTTTCTCCCCTGTGTGGGTTCGTTGATGACTAGTGAGATACGTCTTTCGAGTGAAGCTCTTTCCACATTCCAGACAATGAAATGGTTTCTCTCCTGTGTGAATTCGCTGATGCAGAGTGAGACTTATCTTGTGTTTGAAGTTCTTTCCACATTCTAAACATTTATGTGGTGTCTCCCGCATGGGGTTTCTTTGATGAGAACAAAGATAATTGGGACTAAAGTGCTTTCCACACTCCAAACAATGATATGGTTTCTTCTCTGTGTGGGTTTGTTGATGAGAAGTGAGAGCTGTTTTATGTTTGAATCTCTTTCCACATTCCAGACAATGATATGGTTTCTCCCCTGTGTGAGTTCTCTGATGTTGGGTGAGACTTGCCTTCTGCCCAAAGCTCTTTCCACATAGGAAACAATGATGTGGTTTCACCCCTGTGTGAGTTATTTGATGGGAACGAAGATGGCCATTTTCACTGAAGCACTTTCCACACTCCCAACACTGAAATGGTCTCTCCCCTGTGTGGGTTCGCTGATGAGTAGTAAGATGTGATTTATGCCCAAAGCTCTTTCCACATTCCAGACAATGAAATGGTTTCTCCCCTGTGTGAATTCTCTGATGTTGGGTGAGACTTGTCTTGTGCCCAAAGCTCTTTCCACATTCTAAACACTGATGTGTTTTCCCCTTTTTGTAAGTTTTTTGATGGGAACAAGGTTGATTGTCACTGAACTGCTTTCCACACTCCAAACAATGAAATTCTTCCTCCCCTTTGTGGGTTTGTTGATGAGAAGTGAGATTTGATTTATCCCTGAAGCTCTTTCCACATTCCCGGCAATGATAAGGTCTCTCCCCTGTGTGAGTTCTTAGATGGGTACGAAGATGGCTATTCTGACTGAATCTCTTTCCACATTCCGGACAATGATATGGTTTCTCTCCTGTGTGGGTTCGTTGATGAAAGGTGAGATTGGATTTATTCCTGAAGGTCTTTCCACATTCCAGACAATGAAATGGTTTCTCCCCTGTGTGGGTTCGTTGATGAGAAATGAGATTTGCTTTTTGAATGAAGCTCTTTCCACATTCCAGACATTGATATGGTTTCTCCCCTGTGTGGGTTCGTTGATGACAAGTGAGATTTGCTTGTTGAATGAAGCTCTTTCCACATTCCAAACACTGATATGGTTTCTCCCCTGTGTGGGTTCTCTGATGGTGCATGAGACTTACTTTCTGCATGTAGCTTTTTCCACATACTAAACACTGATGTGGTTTTCGCCCCCCGTGAGTTTTTTCACGGGAACTAAGATGGCTATTCTGACCACAGCGCTTTCCTGCATGATTTCTTTGATGAGAAATGAGTGATATCATCTGACTAAAGCCTTTTCCTAACTCCAGCCTATTCCAGTTGCTTTCTGTTTTCTTTCTTTCCTCTGTGATGTATTTCCATGGGCCTCTTCTGGGGGACATCCCACATGGTTCTCCCTGATTCTGCCCATTGCAAGTGTCCCCTTTGGGAATGAAAACAAAAAAAAGGTAAATATCTCAATTCATAATAAAATCGAAAGCGAGCCTGCAGAATGGATGATTTAAACAAAATAGCTAAATAGACTCAGATGGGATGCAGTTCTTCATGTGTGCTTAACTCCCTCTATTCAGTGGCACTACCTGAGGGTACCAGCCCTGAAATGATTGTCCAGAAATCTGCAAAGCCCCAGGTGCTCTATTAGAAGTGTCTCAGACTTCCCAGAAGAAGGATCCTTGCATAGCTGCAGGCTCAGCACCTCTGCTCAGGAATACCCATCCCAATTCAAAAGGTTTGAAAGGTTTGAAATGTCCCCCACAAGGAGCTACGCAGCTCTTCCCACTACCTGGGAGTCCTTCTTGAATGCCTGTATGGCCTTGTAATGATGCGACCTGTGATCCTCGGTTGGTTTTGTGGGAAGTGTATAAAAGCAGGAGTTTTGTGAAGGAACAGGAAGCCTTACCTAGAGAGGCCAGAATCCCGTGATTCTCCTCCATGATCTGGCTGTGCAGGGCTCTCTGGCCAGCATCCAGCAGGGCCCACTCCTCCTCCGTGAAGCACACGGCGACTTCCCCAAAAGTGACGTGGCCCTGGATGAAAAAAATCAAAGGCTTCTTTTGCGCAGGTGACATAACACGTCCTGGCTTGGTGTATGATGCCTCTCCTAGAGAGGGAATGTGACCTCCCGCCTTAAAAACTGTGGCTGTTACCCCGTTCCTTGAAGAAAAAGTAGAAGAAACCTCCTCTGAACCTGACTGATGACAACAGTTTTTGACCAGTTACCAATATCCCGTTTGAGCAAGAGAACATTGTGGCCGAGCAGCTTCAGGCTCTCCTAGGGGAAACAAATTCTCTGGATCCATTTCGATGGGGCATTAGGCCTGGTTTGGGACAGACACTCCCTTGGTCGCCCTATGGGATGACCTCTGCCAGGAGAGACGGGGGAAAGCAACCTTGTTGATTCTCCAGGACCTCTCAGTGGCTTTCCGTTCCATCAACCAAGGTCTCCATCTGGAGCGGTGGGCTGGATTTGGAGTTGGTGGTACTGTCTTGCGGAGGTTCAGCTCCCATCTGGCCAACCATTTCCAGACCAGGGTGATGACAGACTTTTATTCTTGGTATTTTGGAGGAAGATTCTGTCTGGTTTGATTTTATAGAACTGGTTAAAGGTTTTAGTTGATAAAAGGTAAAGGTTTCCTCATGACATTAAAGTCCAGTCATGTCTGACTCTACGGAGTGCTGCTCGTCTCCGTTTCCTAGCTGAAGGAGCCAGCGTTTTTTCGCAGACATTTTCCATGGTCATGTGGCCAGCATGACTAAACACCAAAGTGCATGGAATGCTGTTACATTCCCACCGAAGTGGTACCTTTTTATCTACTTGCATTTATATGCTTTCGAACTGCAAGGTTAGCAGGAGCTGGGACAAAGCACAGAAGCTGAGCCCGTCTGAGGATTTGAACTGTCAACCTTTTGATCAACCAGCCCAGCAGTTTAACCCACTGCGCCACCACATCCCCAGTGGTTGATACGACCAAATACGACCAAATACCATTTTAATTCTGGGTTAATTTATGGTTTTGTAATTTTATAGAGGTGTATAATTATTTTCTGTCAATTGCTTTGAATCCCCCTTCTCCACTTAAACCAGTTTGTTTAATTTACTTTTAATTACGATTCCAGCTTGTTATTTGTATTAGTTGTACTGCTTTCAGTGTTACTATTGTTTTATTGTACTGTTGCTTATATTGTGGTTCTGAATATGTGTAAGCCTATGGCGAATCGGGGGCAATATAGATCAAACAAATTTTAAAAAATAGCAACTATCTATTGATGTAGCTTTGGAGAGAGCGAGTGCCAGGAAGATACCCAGGGAGGTTCGTGGCTGAGTGGGGACTAGAACCCATGTCCTCTGAGTCGCAGGTCAGCACGCCAACCACAGTGCCCACTGGCTCTATTATGCTGCCCGATTTTTGGTATCGGTACCAGATGTTGGGGGATGAGTGCAATCCAGGAAGGAAGTGCCAAAGGGACTCTGGCCCTCCTGTCCTGGCAGGGATCTGGTCAGGCATGGTGAGCAACAAGCTTCTGGAATGCACGGGCCCTTAGGCAGACCCAGGTGGGCACGCCTAACGGTCAGAGCCTTGCCAGGGAAAGAGAAGGAAGGAGAGGGATCCATTCTAGCCCTTGAGGAAAGTAACAGGCAGAGGGACCCTGGCTGCTTGCCTCTGTTCCGCCAATGAGTCACCACCCTACCTGATCCCGCTCCGTTCCATCATGAAGAAAAGGAGAAGGCTGAGACCCCGCTGGTGCTGTCGTTCCAGGCCCTGCGAGAGACAAGGGGATGGGAAGCTGGCAGCCTGTGCTTGCTGGAGAGCCCAGGATGAGAGACCTTGAAGGGGACCCTGTGGGAGGGAGGGCTATCTTCCTGCCAAAAGACTAGGATGTGAAGGGGAGTGCCAGCCTTACAAGTCAACCAAAGCATCCTCTCCATTCCCCACAGCATGCGACCGGGTTGGGAGGCACCCACCCACTTGGCCAGCCACGCTGGCTTGAAATACAGCCACACTTAGCTTGATACTTACCAGCTTGCTCATCACCTCCCGGCTGGAACCGCCTTTCAGGGGTGCTCCGTATGGTGTCTGCTGGAGCTTTGGCTGCTGCAGGTAAATCCGGACCAACTTCTGCAAACAGCTCCTCTGCCTGAAACAAGAACAGGGATCCAAGACATGGGGCAGGTTTGAAGAGGAACTGGAGCAGCAAAATTGTTGGGGGCAAAGTATGGAGCATCTTGCTGTAGGAGAATTCCAGAAAAGGCTGGGCTATTAGGAGGCAGTTAGTGGAAATGCCGCTTTCTATTTTGGCGGAATTCGATGAAATTTTATTTATATTTTATTTTATTTAGCAAACTTATATGCCGCCGCATTCGTCGAAGCCTCGGGACAGCTTACAAACATAAATGAAAAAGTATCAATAATATGATTATATAAAGTCAGAGACATCCTGGCCAAAGTTGTTAAAATCAATAAATAAAAAGAACAATTAAAATGATGTTTAAATAAAATGGTCTTGGCCTGGCAATGTTCTCACCTGCTGCTCTTCCTGTTTTTTGTCCTCAGCCTGGCTATGGAGAAAACCCTCTGCCAGGGCCACTGCCTGGCAACTGGTTTCTGCTCCACAGTCCCTCACCCAGCTCGCCATTTCTGCTGGCAGGATGGCCAGGAACTGCTGCAGGACCACCCGGTCCAGCACCTGACTGTTCGTGTACTCTTCCAGCTTCAGCCACTGGCGGGAAAGATGGTGGACGTGGTTGCAAACATCTCTGGGAGTGAGAAGCGTGTCTCTCCATGGTCTCATGTCTCCAATCCTGAAGGGAAAGTGCAAACAGAAGTCAGCTGAATAACTAAGAAACTGCCCCCCCCTTTAAAGGGCCCCCAATCTCCCTCAGGGGAGGGCGGTCCTTGCTGGGGAGCCTGGACTCCCTCCCGCCGCCCCCCGTCCCGCTCCTGGCCAGACCCGCAACCCAAGGAGGGGCGTCGCGCCCCGGGACCCACCTTTGCGCAGCGGCAGCAGCAGCGGCGCCGCTCACGGAGCAGGACGGCGCCCAACGAGCAGCTCGCCGCGGGGCCCGGGCAGGGTCCGGGAAGGGGCGCCCGCCCGCCCGAGGCTGCGGCTCGCACGGGCCTCTCCCGCGCCCCTCCGGCCAGCGCTCCGGGCGGGGGCGCGGGCTCACCTGACCCCGCGGAGGCGGCGCGGCAGCCGCACGAGGACCACGTCCCTCCGCGGGAGCAGGAGGCGGGCGGGCGGCGGGGCCCTCTCGCGGAGGGCGCGCCCCTCCTCCGGGCCCTCCACTTCCGCTCTAGGAGCCCCGCGCTCCGTCTCCTTAACCCCCTGGACGCCGAATCACCCTGGCTAGCCGGGGTCCACTCCGGTGGCCTTAACGAACCCCAGTGGGGCAATGCTGATCCCCTCCCCAAACTATTGAATGTGTCCCTAAGACAGCGCTCTGTACCCTTCAAGGCCTCCAGGGCGGCAGGTTGCCTGGGCCGCTTTGTCATTTTTTAGGCACAATTTACTTTGTAGAACTGCGCCTGAACACAGGCGGTAGCGTATACGGTCATGGTTACTCTTTGAAAGAAGAGATTCCCTCCTTCGCTGCTGTAGGAGGTGCAGTCCATGGCATGTTTCCATGGTCGTGAAACCAGTTCAGCTTCAGGGGACGTCGGAGGAGGCCTGCTCACTATTGGTGTCCCTCAAGCAGGAGAAACTGCCCAATTCCTACATCTGTTTATTCATCTCATTAAACTGTTATGAAAGCTGCCTGTTTCTACATCAGCATCCAGACTGAGTGACGGAGTGGATGGGGGCCAGTCATCTGCAGAGAGGCCTCCCGAAACACAAGCTGTGTGGGCAGGTCTGGAAGGGAGGTGCATTGCCTGTTCTGGACGGAGTTCTGCTCGCTCACAAAGTCCTATGAGAGGCTCCCCAATCCATCACTGGAACCACAAGAAGCCTCACAGCACCTTCCGCCGGCCTCCGATCGCCAGCACTGGCCTCAGAGGCAGAGCTTGCTTGCTCAGGCACAAGGAACCCATGGCTGGAGCACTGCATGAAGGGCTGGCCAGTGCACCATGTCGCCGCCTGGCTGGGCGGGAGCAGCCCCTGGACAGCATAGAGCTGTTTTGCGAAACGAACAGCTCTGGCTGCCTCTTTGCTACCAAGCCAGGTCAAAGGTTCTCGTGCAAACATGCATTTCCCTGAGCAACTTAGGCCCAGGATATCAGAGAGAACATCATCTGCTTCACCAGTCACTGAGTTCAGCAGAGTTCCTGGTTGGTGCCACATAAAGCTGCTGGCCGGATTGGGGTCCTCTTCAAGGAGAGCCGCAAGGGTGGCAACCCTCCTGCTGCGGGACGCCTGGCTCTGGACGCAAGGCAGGCTCCGCCGCTGCCTGGGTCCCCACGTCGCAAGCAATCCTGTGCAGGTGTTGTGTGTGGACGTGTCTGGCAGACCGAGATGCCCATCGCGGAAGCTGCCCTCCCCGCTGCCGTTCTCTTTGCTCTCGGTCCACCAGGTGGTATTCCAGGAGGTCCTGCAGGGAGGAACATGGCTGCTCCCTCTCACAGGTTGGGGCTGCCTCTCTGGCCAGCCAGAGTGGGAAAGGGGGACGGCTGGGGGATCTGCCGTGGTGTGCAGCCCCCACTAGGCCTCGCCATTGCCCACCGGCTGCTCCTGCACCGGGGCGGCTCTCAGTGGCGCTCGCTGGCCGGCCACCGCCGCGCTTCTGGTCTCAGTGCCATGATGGGCTCCATTTTCTGGTTTGGACAAAGCAGCCAGCAATTGTGGTACGGAGAAACCATACCCCCAACGGTAGTTTCTGGTTGTGGTTGCTCAAGGCCGTCAGTTAAATACCATAATGGGTCTTGGACAACATGTCAGCCCATCAAAGGTAAGAAAAGCATCACTGCTCATCATGTCATATGGACCTACCTGCTAATTTGTTTACAATTGTGATGTTATCTAGATTTAATACTAATGTTGACTAGTAATTAATGTTGATTAATTAACTAAATGATACATTATTTAAAGGCAATCTTATTTTTGTGTTTGTCACTACCCAATCAATCTAGGTGTGGCGCTGTAGATTGAAGGTGTAAATTAATAAATTGATACCTCTTCATTCTATTTACATTCAGACTTTATGCATCAGCACATTACTAAATGGACTCCACAGAGCTGTCTCCCCTGGACTTTCATTTTTAGATATAGATGTATGTCTGTGGAACAACATTTTGTTCAGTGTAAGAAGGAACTGGTACATCAATGAATGAATCGCTTGCCTCAGAAAAGACGTAACTGTTTTAGCCTGGGAGGACCTCGTTTTTGGCTTCAAGCACCCCTGCCTGAGTCTGCGAAATCCCAGTTGATGGCTGCTAGTTTTTGTTGTTAGCGCCTTCCAGTCACTTCTGACTTATGGCGTCTCTATGAATGAAAGCCCTCCAAAATCTCCTGTCCGGGACAGCCCTGCCCAGCCCTTGTAAACTCAGGGCTGTGGCTTCCTTTACGGATTCAATCCATCCCGTATTTGGTCTTCCTCTTCCCCTTCTGCCTTTGACCTTTCCTAACAGGATTGTCTCCTCCAATGAGCCTTGCCTTCTCACGGTGTGTCCAAAGTACGACAGTCTCATTTTGCTGCTAGGCAATGCTCTGGGTTGATGTGATCTGGGACTCGGTTGTCTGTCTGTGCCTCAGCCCTAAACCTAACCCAGTGATGGTGAACGTTTCAGAGACCGAGTGCCCAAATTGCAACGAAAAACAAACTTATTTATCAAAGAGTGCCAACACTGCAATAAAACCTGAAAACTGAGGTTTAAGTTTAGAAAAAACACATCACAGCCAGTCCAAACAAATATCCTTCGCAGCGCACTGACTGTCCATGCGAAAGTTGGACGAGTCACAGATAATGAGTCACGGCTTGTGGCGTCATTGTCTGGTGCCACTACCCCTCTCACAAGTGGGCCCAGCGTGTGCCCTTATCCGATGCTCGGCTGATGCAGTGAAGCTGCAGCGATGTGGCTCGCAAGCCGAGGAAGAGGGCTCCGCATGCCCGCTGCAGTGCATGCACAACAGATTCGACAGACTGGCAGACGCCGACACTGGTGCGCCCCCCTGACCCTAAAACATGGGTAAAATACCAGTGAAAGGGGCGATTATGAAAAGGTTCTCCTTGAAAAGGTTTTCCTGCACAACTCAACATTTCAGCCTACATGAACACAACCCAAAAATCAAATACATGCCAGGACAGAACATTCTTCTATCCCTAACCCAACCTTGGTACAAACCTGTACCCCCAAAATACCATCAAAATAGTTGATCACGAAAAAAAATTCGAGGAGTAGCTTTTTCTGCACAGCTCATCATTGATGCCCATGCAAAACACATTCGATGTAGCAGAATTATACCAAAAAACCATGTTTTTGCAACCCTAACCCTACCTTGGAGCACACCTCTAACCCTAATATACTGGTAAAGTCCCACTGAAGAAAGGGCAATATTGAAAAAGCCTTTCTTGAGTAGCTTTTCAAGCACAGTTCATCATTTCTGCCCATTCTAAAAGCATTCCAACAATCAAAAACATACCAGAACACCATATTTTTCTAACCCTAACCATATACTGCTTCACAGCCCTAACCCTAATGTAGTGGTAAAGTCCCACTGAAGAAAGAGAAATTTTGAAAAAGCCTTCCTTGAGCAGCTTTTTCAGCACAGCTCATCATTTCTGCCCATTCTAAACAGGTTCCAACCATCAAAATTATACTAGGACACCATATTTGTCTAACCCTAACCCTAGCCTGGGGCACACCCCTAACCCTAATACAGTGGTAAATTCCCATTGAAGAAAGGGCAATTTTGAAAAAGCCTTCCTTGAGTAGGTTTTTCAGCACAGCTCATCATTTCTGCCCATTCTAAACATCTTCCAACCATCAAAATCATACTAGGACACCATATTTTTCTAACCCTAACCATAACCCTACCCTGGTGCACACTCCTAACCCTAATATAGCGGTTAGATCCCATTGAAGAAAGGGCAATTTTGAAAAAGACTTCCCTTGAGTAGCTTTTTCAGCACAGGTCATCATTTCTGCCCATTCAAAACACATTCCAACCATCAAAATCATACTAGGACACCATATTTTTCTAACCCTAACCCTGCCCTAGTGCGCACGCTTAACCCTAATCTAGTGGTAAGGTCCCACTGAAGAAAGGGCAATTTTGAAAAAGCCTTGCTTGAGCAGCTTTTTCTGCACAGCTCATGATTTCTGCCCATTCGAAACACATTCCAACCATCAAAATCATACTAGGACGCCATATTTTTCTAACCCAAGCCCTACCCTGGTGCACACCCCTAACTCTAATTTTCCGGTAAAATCCCACTGAAATTAGCGGTCTTGAAAAAAGCTTTCCTTGAGTAGCTTTTTCTTCACAGCTCATCATTTCTGCCCTTTCTAAACGCATTCTCATCATCAAAATAATACTTGGGCACCATGTTTTTCTCACCCTAACCCTAATATAGCGGTAATGTTCCACTGAAAAGAGGGAGAGTTTGAAAAAGTCTTCCTTGTGCAGCTCAACGTTTCCAGTATAAACACATTCCTAACATTAAAATCATATCAGGACCCTATGTTTGCTAACCCTAATCCTCCCTTCCCCTTCATGGATCACTGCCTTGTGATGGCGAAGGGGCTTGTGTAGCTCAATGAAGCTATGAGTTATGCCGTGCAGGGCCACCCAAGGCAGACAGGTCATAGCAGAGAGCTCTGACAAAATGTGATCCACTGGAGAAGGAAATGCCAACCCACTCCAGTTATCCTTTCCATGAAAACCGCACAGACAGTACCAAAAGGCAAAAAGGTATGGCGCTGGAAGATGAGCCCCTCAGGTCAGAAGGTGTCCCATATGCTACTGGGGAAGAGCGGAGGGCTAGTACTAGTAGCGCCAGAAAGAATGAAGTGACTGGGTCAAAGCCAAAAGGACACTCAGTTGCAGATGTATCTGGTGGTGAAAGGAGAGTCTGATGCTGCAAAGATCTATACTCCATAGGAACCTGGAATGTAAGATCCATGAATCAAGGCAAGCTGGATGTGGTCAAACAAGAGATGACAAGACTGAACATCGACATCTTAGGAATCAGTGAACTAAAATGGAGAGGAATGGGTGAATTTCATTCAGATGACCATCAGGTATACTACTGCGGGCAAGAATTCCTCAGAAGAAATGGAGTAGCCTTCATAGTCAATAAAAGCAGTACTGGGATACATTCTCCAAAATGACAAGAATGTTCTCTGTTCGAATCCAAGGCAAACCATTCGACATCACAGTAGTCCAAGTCTATGCCCCAACCACTGGTGCTGAAGAGGCTGAAGTGGACCAGTTCTATGAAGGCCTACAACACCTTCTAGAATTAACATCCAAAAATGATGTCCTTATCATCCTGGTGGATTGGAATGCTAAAGCAGGAAGCCAAAAGATAACCAGAATAATAGACAGTTTTGCCCTTCGAGTACAAAATGAAGCAGGACACAGGCTGGTCGAATTTTGTCAGGAGAATACAATGGTCATAGCAAACACTCTTTTCCAACAACCCAAGAGACAACTCTACACATGGACATCACCAGACGGTCACACAGAAATCAGATTGACTATGTGCTCTGCAGCCAAAGATGGAGAAACTCTATGCAGTCAGTAAAAACTAGGCCAGGAGCTGACTGTGGCTCAGATCATGAGCTTCTTGTTGCAAAATTTAGGCTTAAATTGAAGAAAGTAGGGAAAAGCACTAGGCCACTCAGATATGACCTAAATCATATCCCTGATGAATATACAGTAGAGGTGACAAATAGATTGAAGGAATTAAATCTGATAGACAGAATGCCTGAAGAACTATGGATGGAGGTTTGCAACATTGTACAAGAGGCAGCATCTAAAACCATCCCAAAGAAAAAGAAATGCAAGAAAGCAAAATGGCTGTCTGAAGAAGCTTTACAAATAGCTGAGGAAAGAAGAGAAATGAAAGGCAAGGGAGAAAGAGAAAGATACACCCAATTGAATGCAGAATTCCATCACTATAGCTTGTTTAGGTAAAAAAAAAAGTTTCCCCACTTTGGGTCCGGGCCACAATTCAAACTGTGAGTTTCCATGTGTAACATCTCTAAGTTTTCAGAATTAAAACGTGCTTTTGTATTCTGCAACTGCCTGGAGACTATGTCTTCCCACATAAAAAAGATCCATAGGTGGAGAGAGAATAACGGCAGCCCAAACATCTGGTCTCCACTCGAGAGAGATCAGGTTTCCAGGCACCGGTCCTCCCAGTAATCTTCCCCATTGCAGGCAGCACTTCCTCCACCCTCCTGCTGGATCCCCCTTTGTGTAGAGCTCTTCCTTGTGCAATTGGAGTCTTTACCTGGAACAGCAACAAGGGGGCGAAACAGAAAGCAGACAAGCCAAAATGTTGGGCGTGAGCTACAGGACATCTCTCCTTGGGTGATTCTGAAAGCAGGTTGGTCGACTGGGAGAGTGCTGGGATCTCCACCTTCCCATTCTGGCCCCCTTGGATGAAACGCCCTCACCTGCTGCTGTTCCTGCCTCCTGGCAGCATGACTCCGCTCCACATTTTCTCACCCAGCTCACCACCTCCGCTGGCAGGACGGCCAGGAACTGCTCCAGGACCACCAGGTCCAGCATTTGGCTTTTCGTGTGTCACTCTGGCTTCAGCCACTGATGGTGGAGCTGGCTACAAATTCCTTGGGGGTCCTTGACTGCCTCATGGCAGAAGCGCCTGAAATGCTGGTGCTGCGCACATGAATCAGCCACATCCTCACCCAGTTCATTCTGCATCAGGTTGCCACACAGCTCTCCAATCCTCCCAGTTGCAGTAATATCAGGGTCTCCTTTGATTCCAAGGGTACCAAAGACGTTCTGGAACCTGCCCATATACAGAAAGGCATAGACATACAGTAACCAACTAAACAAGGCAACAATTTCCTCTTCTTGTCTTGGCAAACACTGTGGTTTGAGGTGGCTCTACTCTGGCCCTGTCATGGCATGACGTGGTTCTCCTAAAGAATTATCATGCTGCCAGGACAGTGAAATAAGCACACTCCAGTTAGCCAGCAGGTCTTGTCCAGTGAGGGAATGCAGGTAAGGCCAAGCCTCAGAGACTGGGCACCTGGCGCTGGTCCCCCACCTGGGAGCCAGACACCCAAGCCTTCATCTTGCTGGAGAGTCCAGAGCTGCGGCATCCAGCCACCCCACAGCTCCCCCTGTGCCCCCAAAAGCATGTTTCCGCTCTCAGCCTTCAGCATCCATAACCCTCTCCATGCACCTTTTCCTGCTCCCATCTTGGATTTTATCTGGCCAGGGCGGCTTATTTTATATTGGTATTTTTGCATTTTTAACTTAATGTTTGTATTTTTTTTTAATTTAATGTTATAATTATTTTTTAACTTAACGTTGTAAGCTGCCCCGAGGCTTTGGCGAATGGGGCGGCATAAAAATGTTTTAATTAATAAATAAATAAATAAATAATAAAATCTTCTCCTTAAACATGCTTTCAGTGAAATTGTATCAAGGCTTTCCATCACTGAAAGCAAACATTGCTCATCTTTGATTTTTGAAGATCAGTGTATCGATCAAGTGAATTGACACACGCAGAGGAGTAAGAAATTCTGAAGCTGAAGAGAATTAAAAACACAAGATGTTCTCTTTGACTGGCAGGTACGCTGTCTCAGCAGATGGAGGTCCCAATCCTATCATAGCCAGGAGCTGCTTCCTTGCAGCTGAGCAACAGTTTACACAGGGCAGCACTTGCTCCTGGGCAGATCGCAAGCTGGTTGCTCTCTGAAAGTGGGTCTCACTGCCTATGCTCTGTTGAGGTTTTATCCCCTCCTTTCCCTTCTGCTTTATTTCCCCCCACTCCCACTTATTTCTCGCTCTCTCCGTGGGCCTGGTTCACTCTCCCTGCCTTCACCACAGGGAAATGCGACCATTCGTCAACTGCGGAGCTCAGCATGGGCTCCTCTTCAACCCAGCGGCCGGCCGTGTGGGAGGGCCAGCCTCGGGGGGGGGGGGCGCCCCTTCTCCCCCGCCCGCCGCGGCCTGCTTTCGCCGGTCGGGCCCCCCTGGCCGTGCCCAAGCGGGACCCCCGTGGGCGCTGCGCCCAGGCCCCATTTCGAGGCGCGAAAGCCTCCAGCGAGAAGCAGAAGCGGCATCCACCGACCCGCCCTGCGGGGAAATGCTCAGGGCTCCCCGCCCCCCGAGAAGTCTCGGGCTGAACCGGGCGCCCCCTCCCGCACCGGGCGCCTCCCAGCCCTCCTCGCTCCCCGCTGCCCCTGCGGCGCCCCTGCCCCAAAGGCACCCGGCGCGGACCGGCGGGTCTCGCCCGAGCGCACCGAGCAGGCCCCGCGGCGGCACGTGCAGAAGGCGCCAGGCGCCGGTGCCTCCGGAAGGGGCAGGAAGGGCCCTTGAAGGGAGGGGCGTATCCTGTGCAGGCCTTTCCTTAATTCCCGCTTCCTCTCTTGGAAAATCTCCCAGCTCCGCCTCTGGGAGAGCAAGAGCTTGCCTCTCTGCGGGCGGTGCTCCCCTCTCGCTGCAGGAAACCTGTTTGCAAAGGCAAGCCGCACCCCGCGTGATCCTCGCAACAACCCTGTAAGGTAGACGAGGGTGAGAGCGGGCAGCTGGCCCAATGCACCCACTGGGCCTCATGGCCAAGTGGGGATTCGAAGGCAGCACCCTTGAGTCCAAGGCCAGTGCTCTAACCGTTATACCACATTGGCTCTTTTCGGTGTCAGACTTGTTCTTCTCTTTCAGAACCCCTCTTTCCACGAGGCTCAAAAGCCCCCGCAGCCGGAACAAATCATCCCAAGGCACTGAAACCCGAACTGTTTGGGAAGAACGCTCCTGCACAGACTTAAATATGCTTAGTCCTGCAGGCTGGCCTGGGTTACTCACCTGTCACAGCTGGAGCATCTTGGAGCCAACAGGTATGATGGCAAAGCCTGATCAGCCGCTTGTCACTTAGGGCTAAAAGGCCTGATCCTCATTTATCCTTGCAATTACTGCACTAACGCACGCTTTGAACTGAAGTCATCTGTGTACAAACGGTCTGCAAATGCAAGACAAGGACTTGTGAACTAGTGGGCCTTTCCTTCTCACTGTTAAGTTTCAGATACGGTGCAGTTTGGGAGACACAGGATCAGAATTTCAACCTTGGCACAGCTTCCTGTGTGCAGCTTCAGTGGGAGATACCTGCTTAAGTTTCTGAATAGCTAAATTTCTGGTGACCAAGGCAAAGACAGAACGTTTTCTTGTGTTCTCTTTTCAAAGTCCCCACAATTGGAATCCATCACTTACTGAAAGCACCAGGAAACATTGCTTTGATTCCTGGGCAGGGAGTCTTAATTTCAGTGTCCATAACATCCCACATGGACCTCTTAATTTCTTCCCGAAGACTCTGAGGTAGTTTGAAGATGAAAGTGAGGGACCTGGGCCAGCAAGGGAGCTTGGCAGCTAAGAGGGAGTACAAATTTGGCTTCCCAGATCCAGCTTCTGCTGCAGTGCCCTGCCACAACATGGCTGCTTTGCGGAGCTGGCCACGTCCAGCAACACAGCAAGCCAAGCAGCCTCTTCCCCTCCCCATAACAAGCACTTCCAAACCCTTCCCAACTCCACCAAGGCACAGCAGCTGCTTATGGATGCCTTTTTTTGACCTAGAAATTCAAAATATTCTTCCTGGCAGGGAAACTGTCATTGTCTCCCTTCTCAGGGCTTTCTTCTGTGTGTCAAGCCAGTTCAGCCCTTGGGGCAGCAATTCATTTCAGTGTCTTTCTCAGTTCTTCAAATACTTGCTAACTCTTCTGTTCATGGAACTATGGCTTAGCACTCATGAAAAGTAACCAGGTTATTCTTTGAAATAACGGACTTGACCAATTAATGTTGTGACACAAGGAGATGACTGTCGTCTTCTCTTCCAGAGAGGCAGCCCTCTGCAGCCTTGCCAAACGGCACGGGACACCCAAGCGAACATGCTCTCCATTCCTGCTAAGATGGAGCTCGGGGAGGCTGTGCAGGTGCTGGATCAGCCTCCGGATGAGGCCCAGTAACCTGCAGCAGAATCATGGCGAGATGGCCATCAAGTGGGCAAGTGCTTCCCGAGTCTGGGAGAGGCTCATTAGCTGTCCCGGATGGGGTCAGGCTCACTCTGAAAGTCCAGGCTCATACTGTGAGGGTGCTCCTCCGTCACAGAATCCTAGAGTTGGAAGGGGCCAGGAGGCCTTTGGGTCCAATCTCCTGCTCAGTGCAGGGCACCAAGTCACACCATCCCTACCAGAAGGCCACAAAAAGCCACGCAAGGACAGTGAAGGTTGCCAGGAGAAAGCCCCCCTCCCCGCGGTTTCGTCCATCCTGCCAGCAGGTGCACAAGCAGCAAACAGCCAGGGCTCAGTGCATCCCTCCAGCAATGCAGGATGGCTCGAATGCTTCAAGAACTGGATGCCGACCATTTTGCTGGTCCCCGACACTCTGTCCCCTCTGACTGAAGGATCACCACCTGGAGATCTTTACCAGGAGATGGGAGGAATTCGTGAAGACAAGCATTGGCTTCTAGTCCTGATGCTGCCCCCTGTACCTGAAGCTGCTGGCCTATGTACACCAGTCTGGGGAACATGAGTAGGAGGATGCTGTTACGGACATCCTCCTTGTCCACTTCTGGGTTAATCAGGGGCTGCTGTTATATCGGCTATAAAACCTTGAGACTTATGATGGGCCATGTTTTCTATCTGCCTCTCTTCTTCAGGAAGAATTGTCTTGGTTTTGCTAATCCTGTTAATATTAGAATATGTCTTTTTTCTACCCATGTTTTACAACACTGAAAATAATTATTAAAGGAAATAGAAATAAGACTTTAAAAATCTACCTTGCCTCATATTCTAGCAAATATTCTAGGTAATTTTTGCTCATTTTGTTATGAGAGGATTCTAAATCAAACATGTCGTTTTCTATGCCTGGGGTATATCATTGTGAGAGTGATGAGGTCAGAAGAAAGATCTGGTACATTTCTCTCCACATTCCAAGCAGTTCTAAAAATGTTACGCTAGGTTATATATCTGCTGAGAAGTGAATGACCTCATGATTAACGCTCTTTTACTTGATGAGACTTGAGACAACTCATGTCCCTGGAGCATTTTCTGGACTCAGATCTTTCTTTCTGTGATCTTTTAAATGAAAATTAAGCCATTACTTCTGTCATTTTTTCTCTTTGCACATTTTAAGCACTAATAGGTTCCCCCACCCATGTGTATTCTTTGATGTTGTTAGAGAGTTCCTTTCTGACTGAAGCACTTTCCGTGTTATTTAATGTTTTTAAAATCCTATTTCTAAGGCGAATCTTAAGCTGGTTTAGCAGATTAAAAACAATTTCAGTATAGAAAATATGCAGTAAAAACAATACTGTATTATATAACAAAATCATTCAACTAGCAAAATGCTCAGTAAATAAACAGGTTTTGGCCTGGTGCCAAAATGAAACCATTGGCACCAGGCACTCCTCTCTGGGAGCAGATTCCACAGCTGGGGCACTACCACTGAAAAGGCCCTTCTCTGGGTAGCCACTCTTCTAACCTCTTTTGGAGAGAACTCCTGAAGAAGGACCTCAGTGGAAGATCTCAATGTTCAGACAGGTGTATATGGAAGGAGACATCTAGGCCCTAAACCATTTAGGGCTTTATATGTCAAAGTTAACACCTTAAATCCAGCCTGAACTTCAATTGGTAACCATCTTCCATCTGTAATGCTGCCACCAGAAATTTAATTCCAATCTAATTAAGTCCCCTTTCCCTCAATATTGTGCCCAAGCTATAAGGCTCCTTCGTTGGACTATGTGGTCGTGTGGATGAAAAAATAAATCAAACAAAATTTTATTTGTTCAATAATGTGTATGAGTTTCTAGATGTTCTGCAGCTTATTTCTTTAGTAATAAAACAATGCATAACAACTTCTGACTGAGGTATCTCACTCTTTCCCCTCACAATCACTCATCACTCAAATCCACCTTTCTCTTCTGAATATACTTTGACCAGTCTTTATTTTACTTTACTCAGCTGAATATTCCCCTTCTGAACTCAGGTTTCTGTCAGCTTCTATCTCTGACATACCTGACAATATTATACTTCCCTTGTTTCAAACATTAATATGGTTTCTCCCCTGCATGAATTCTTTGAGTTGTGTCTTCCAACTGAAGTTCCCTTCTCATTCCGGGGCATTTATGAGCTGTGTGACCTAAGTGAATCTTTTCATAAGGATGGAGATGTTTCTTCTAACTGAAATGTTATGGTTCCCCCATGCAAATCCTTTGATGATATGTGAGATATACCTCCAGACTGAATCATAGAATAGTAGAGTTGGAAGGGGCCATGAAGGCCATGGAGTCCAGCCCCCTGCTGTTGCGGGACACCATGTAACACCATCCCACTCAGATGGCTGTCTACTTTCTTTCTGAATGTCTCTAGTGTGTGAGAAGCACTTTCCACATTACAAACAATATGAAGTTTTCTCCCTGGTGTGAATTCTTTGATGCTGAGTGAGAGAGTTTTTCTGACTAAAGTGCTTTCCGCACTCCAAACAATGAAATGGTTTCTCCCCAGTGTGGGTTCTTTGATGAGAAGAGAGATTAGTCTGCTGACTAAAGCTCTTTCCGCACTCCAAACAATGATACGGTTTCTCCCCAGTGTGAGTTCTTTGATGATATGTTAGATGTATCTTCTGACTGAAGCGCTTTCCACATTCCAAACAATGATAGGTTTTCTCCCCTGTGTGAGTTCTTTGATGCTGAGTGAGGGAGTTTTTCTGACTGAAACTCTTTCCACACTCCTTGCATGTATATGGCTTCTCCCCTGTGTGAATTCTTTGATGTGTATTGAGAGTTATCTTCTGACTGAAGCACTTTCCACACTCATTGCATGTATATGGTTTCTCCCCTGTGTGAGTTCTTTGATGGGAACGAAGGCTACTATTCTGTCTGAAGTTCTTTCCACACTCCAAACACTGAAATGGTTTGTCTCCAGTGTGAGTCCCTTGATGAGAAGTAAGATTCTTCTTGTGATGGTAAGTCTTTCCACAATGCAAAGAAACAAATTTCTTCTGTCCTGTGTGATTTTTTTGATGAAAAGTTAGATTCTTCTTGTGACTGAAACTCTTTCCACACTTTGAACAGTGATATGGTTTCTCCCCTGTGTGGGTTGTTTGATGATGTGTTAGATGTATCCTCTGACTGAATCTCTTTCCACACTCTAAGCAATGAAACGGTTTCTCCCCAGTGTGTGTTCTTTGATGTGTAGTGAGAGCTATCTTCTGACTAAAGCACTTTCCACACTCATTGCATGGATATGGTTTTTCTCCAGTGTGAGTTCTCTGATGAGAACGAAGGTTAGTATTATGACTGAAGGCCTTTCCACACTCCAGACACTGAAACGGTTTCTCACCAGTGTGCGTTCTTTGATGAGAATTCAGAGTCTTCTTCTGACTGAAGCTCTTTCCGCAATGCAAGCAAAGGAATTGTTTCTCCCCTGTGTGAAGTGTTTGATGACTAGTTAGAGTTACCTTATGACTGAAGCTCTTTCCACATTTCATACAATGATAGGGTTTCTCTCCTGTATGGGTTGTTTGGTGATGTGTTAGATGTATTTTCTGACTGAAGCTCTTTTCACACTTCAAACACTGATATGGTTTCTCTCCACTGTGAGTTCTTTGATGACGTGTTAGGTGTATTTTCTGACTGAAGCTCTTTCCACATTGCAAGCAATGAAATGGTTTCTCCCCTGTGTGTCTTCTTTCATGACAAATGAGAGTTATCTTGTGACTGAAACCTTTTCCACACTCCAGGCATATATATGGTTTCTCTCCTGTGTGAGTTCTTTGATGACATGTTAGATCTATCTTCCGATTGAAGGGCTTTCCACACTCTGTGCAAGTATACCTTTTCTTCAATGAGGTACTTGATGTAGAAGGGAAAGTTTTCTTATTTTCATAGCACTGATCCTTTTCCTGAATTTTATGGATTTCTTGTTTGATTGTGATATCATGGTCGCCGTTGTTCTCAGAAGCAAAGAAATTATTCCTCCTATTCTGATTTAGATCCGTTTTCCTTTCCTGCTCTTTGCTATTCATACCTTTGTCTATTTTCAGTGATATTCCACATGGTTTTCTCATACTCTCCATTTTCCACCTGTCACTTTCTGAAAGAAAATAAAAAATTAGTAAAACATGGAGTTAGCACAGGAGCATCTAAACACCCTCATGTCCTAGTCTGGATTAAAATGATGAGATTAATGAAATTGGAAATAGCAGATCTTGAAAAAGTACACAATTATAAACAAAAGGATCTATACAAATGCTCTGACCCCAAATAATAGTTGTGTATTTAGGGGTGGCTTAATAAAAATTTGGTATCCCAGGGGAAAAAGAAAATGCTTAAAACTGATTTTCCAATGAATGCCAAGAATATGTTACTGAATACAGTACCAGGGACTACAGAGCTATTTACATATATGTTAACAGTGCTAAGAGTAATAGTTTCTTTAAAGTGGAAAACTGAAAATTGCCCAACTGTCCAAGATTGGAAAAATAAATTGGCTGATTATACAATGGTGAAATTAACCAAATACATTAGCAGAAGGCCAATTAAAGAATTTAATCAAAGATGGAAAACTTTTTATGTACAATTCAATTAATTTTAATAATTTTATAAATTATTAAAATTTACAAAATAATTTTTATAAATTATGTTTTATAAATTATAAATTAAATACATCACAACAACATTTATTGTAAGCCGTCCAGGGACGAAAGTGATGGATGGCCTAGAAATAGCCTAAATAAATAAATAACATATATAAATGTCAGCGAACTCCATTTTTAAGACAAAGCAGACCAAAACCAAACTGACCGAAAACAGAGTGGCTCGCACAGACCTATGGCTGATGGAAATCTCTGCTTGTTTATGAATGAGTTTAAATGTTAATGTTACATGCTATGTTTGTGGATTGAAACTTGGCACATGCTTTTCTTACATTTCCTTTTTTCTTATTCTACCTTATGAAAATAAGTTTTAAAAGATTTGGGGGGAAAAAATCCCTGTCTGAGCCAAGGCAGATGTAACAGCAAAGTTGTCTTCAGGGAAAGTCTCATTGCTCACTTATCTAAGGTCAGCCTTGGGATCACCAAGCCAATCCAAAGTGCACACATGTTGGAAGTCTCAGGATAAGCATGACCAACCCCAGCGACCAAACATACATTGGCCAGCAAAGAATTCATCTCCTCGACATGAGTACATTGCTCAGTTGTGGGGTCTGTCAGGTCTATCTTAGGCTTTCAGGAAAGGAACGAGTGGGTGATTCAGGATTGGTGCACCTGCTCCATGTTAGCTGCTGAGCTCTTAAGCTGGCAGGGACCTTTGCCTGCTAGAATCATTGAAGGCTATACGTGCAGGGCAGACGGAAACACACACTTTCTGACCTGCAAAAACCGTCAAATTAATTTTTAAGAATCAGATGTTTTGAACTGCCAGAAAAATACTGTAATACTCCTCATAATACTAAATGAACTCCAAACATAGGACATGTGTGAAAAAACAGAAATATTATATTCTTCATCATAATGCCATTTGGAAACTTCCCATAAAGCAGAAGAGTAGGGAGTCCTACCGAGAGAGGCCACGGTCCCTCGGTTCTCCTCCATGATCTGGCTGTGCAGGGCTCTCTGGTCGGCATCCAGCAGGGCCCACTCCTCCTCCGTGAAGCACACGGCGACCTCCTCAAAAGACACGTGACCCTGGATGGAAGAAGAAAAGGGTCCCATCTCAGGAATAGCATTAAGTGAGTTGGATGAGCAGGGTACTGCAGGACTGACACCTGCTTGCTGTGACCACCAGCTGCTGATGGATCAACAGCAAGAAACTGCACTGGCCCGCCTGAACTTCCTGTGGGCTTCCCAAAAGGCATCCAGTTGGCCAATGGGAGAAAAGGGCGCCAGGCTCTCCTTTTCCGCCTTGCCAGGGGAAAAGCGGACAGCGATGCTCCCCAGCCCTCAGAGGCAGGCAGGGGATGGAGACATGAGGGCTGCTTCCTGCCCCTCCCCTTCAGGAGCCTTCCTCGTACCTGCTCAGGTTCCACTCCATCTGGTTCCACAAGAGAAGGCTGAGCACCCACCGCTGGCCTCATTCCAGCCCCTGCAAGAGGCAAAGGAAAGTCAGGAGCATGTAGTGGTCCCAGCACCTGAGACTGCCCCCCGAGGTTCTGAGAAGGAATCCTCTTGCAACTCGAGAGAACTTGGGACTTGTCAAGCACACAGAAGTGTAATGCACGCAGATGTACACCTGGGTAAAAAAGGAGCCCATGTGGTGTGCCAGTTCAAGGGCTGGCGTCTGGACGTGGCTGATCCGGGTTCAAGACTCCAGTTGGCTATGATGCTCACTGGGCAATACTGGGCCAGTCAGGCTCCCAGCCTGCTCTACCTCACAAGGTAAGAAAGGATAAAAGTGGAGTGGAGGAATACTGTGGGCACTGCATTGGATTCTGTGCAATAGGGAGACACAGCATATAAATGCAAAGGTAACAACATTAAAATTTTCATAGTTCAGACGGGACTGGACTAGAAAGCAAGCTGTTGCTTTCCTTCTGTGAAGTCTCCATGTAATGAAATTTCAACATTCTCTAAAAGCCTAGAAAAAGTGAGTTTCCACAGAGAAGATGCAGAAATGGTGGGAGAATAAAAGCAAGCCCCATCTGGCTTCTCTTTCCAAGACTGAAAATACACGGTAGAAATACATGCACTCCCAGAGGAATATTTACCCTGCCAGGCAGCACATCCGTCTTCCTCCGGCCAGATCCCCCTTTGTGCCAAGCTCTTCCTTGTGCCCAATGGAGCCTCTTTCCATGCAGGGGAATCAGGTCCCAATTCTGCAATAAGATCCTTTACCAGAAATGGCAACCAGGATGCAGGACATAAGAAAGGGAAGAAAGAAAATCAGAGACACAAAGCATTGGGCACCTGTCCCTGGGCGATTTCCAGAATGAGCTGGGGAATCAGAAGGGATGTGGAGCATCTCCCCCCTCCCATTCTGGCCCCCTTGGATGAAACGCCCTCACCTGCTGCTGCTGCTCCTGCCTCCTGTCCTCGGCCTGGCTCAGGAGGAAGCCCTCCGCCAGGGCCACTGCCTGGCAACTCGTCTCCGCTCCGCATTCCTTCACCCAGCTGGCCATCTCCGCCGGCAGGACAGCCAGGAACTGCTGCAGCACCACCAAGTCCAGCATTTGATTTTTCGTGTGTCGCTCCGGCTTCAGCCACTGACTGTTAAGTTGATGGACTTGGCTGCAGGCCTTCCGGGGTCCCTTGGCTGCCTCGTAGTGGAGGCGCCTGAAACGCTGCAGCTGCACGTGTGGGCTGGCCATGTCCTCACCCAGGACCTCCTGCGCCATTTCCTCCCCGAATTCTCTGCTTCTCCCAGCCCTAATGGCATCGGGGCTTCTTTTGGTTTGGGTCTCCAGTGGCACCAATGCTTTTCCGTAACCTGCCCGGATATGGAATGGGATGCAAATAAAGCAAAGTTCTTTTTCTTGTTCACCTCTCAGCATACCTTGCTGCACAAGGAGAAACTACGGCTCGGTAACAGCAGGCCACTTTCGAAGAAGAACTCCTTTGCTGCCAGGCCACGATGAGACAGGAGGGAGGGAAGCAGGCCTTCTGCAGGCAGGGCAGCAGGTTCATTCCCGGTTCCCCCGGTTCCCCGAGCTCTGGGGAAGGGAGAGGGGCGGTGGGCAGAGTGGGGGCGCTTCTGCCCGCAGCAAAGCGGCCACAAGCTCCTCTCGCCCCCCCCCCCCCCCCCCCGGCAGCGGCGGAAGTGTCTCCGCTAGCCGCCTCCGCAGCGCAGCGCCGGCGCGTCCGTAACGGCGCCCCCCAATCAGCGCCCTGCCGGCGAGCGGGCCGGCCTGGGGCACCGGGCTCCCTGCGCTGTCCTGCGGGCCCGCCGCCTCGGGAGGGGGCGAGGGGCCCGGCCGTGCCCAAGCGGGACGCGCGGGCGCCGCTCGGACCCCCTTCCCGCGCGGGAGGCTCCGGCGGGGGCGGGAGCGCGTCGAGCGGCGGCTCCGGCACCGGTCCAGACGCGCGGCCCCTCCCTCCCCGGCGAGACCGGGCGCGCCTCACCTGCGCGCCGCCGAGCCCTGGGCACACCGCGCGGAAGGGCTGCGGGGCCCTTCCGGGAAGGCCCCGCCCACGCCCCGCCCCGCCCTCTCGGGCGCCCCCGCTCCGCCGCGGCGGGCACTCGGCCCTTCCCCGCGCCCCGGCGAGCGGGGGCCGCGCTCTCGGTTCCTCGCCCGGGCGGCGCGCTCCTGCGGGGGCGGAGCAATGCCCGGCTACCTTCTTTCCCGGCCGAGCGGCCTGGTCCCGCTCGGCAATGGCTGCGCTTCGGCTCTTGGTCCCTTCAGCGCCTGGCCCATCCCGCAGGAGCCCCTCCTTTCTTCCCAAGGACCCGCCCGGGGCAGCGAGGGAGCTCGGCAGCGACGACGGAGCGCAACGCCGGCCTCCCGGATGCAGCTGCAGCCGCAGGCCCCTGCGCTGACACGGCCACGTCCAGCAACGCAGCAAGCCAAGCGGCCTCTTCCCCTCCCCGTGACAAGCACTTCCAAACCCTTCCCAACTCCACCAAGGCGCAGCAGCTGCTTATGGATGCCTTTTTTTGACCTAGAAATGCAAGACATTCTTCCGGGCAGGGAAACTGTCACTGTCTCCCTCTCAGGGCTTTCTTCTGTGTGTCAAGCCAGCTCAGCCCTTGGGGCAGCAGATCGTTTCCCTGTCCCTTGATTCTTCTCCACAAATGCTTGCTATCTCTTCTGTTCTGCAACCATGGCTTAGTACTCCAGAAAAGGAATCAAGTTATTCCTCAATAAGACATTTATCAAAGAAAGTGGAAGTGCACAAGTGAGGAAAGCCACCTGGCTTCACCCAGGAATCAATCTAGTTCGGTATCTTTCTCCGTTTGTCACCAAGAAACATTGTTAATTGGATATGAGCAGTTGTCAGTGAAGTGGCAGCAAGTGGCATTTGCTCCCGTGGCTCACCTCCCAAGCCAGCCCGCCAAGGTGAAATAGGGAGAGTTTCCAAACTAATCAACTTCCCTCTTCTAAGCACATGCATGGCATCCCCTGTCATGACTGATACCTGCATTTATCCAGTCAATGTAGGGGTAATTTAAGCCACCCAACCCTGTAATGGAATTGCATTTGCAGCTCACTCTGATGTCACTTCCCATCTCAAGACCACTCTGAATGTTCTTCTCTGGGATATGAAAACATGCTTTGCATGCTGGCTGAGAGCCAGCGTGGTGTCGTGGTTAACAGCGCAAGACTGGGACTAGCTTTGGACCAGTCACAGACTCTCAGCCCAACCTACCTCACAGGGTTGTTGCTGTGAGGATGAGGTTGAGGAGAGGAGAACCATGTACGCCTCCCTGAGTTTTCTTGAAAGAAGGAAGGTGGGATATGAATAGAAATAAATTGTCTGCTCGCTTCCTTCCTTGTATCCTGCTCTCTGCAGACCAGTGCGGGGACTAGCGGTGCTCTCACCAACTCGTCCTCGGTTTAAGAACTGTTCTGCCACCATTGCTCTGTTTAGTGCTAGCAGTCTGGTTCCACTCTGGTTCTGACAGTGCCCATCCCTCTTCCACAGGCCTGGCTCATCCCAAGCTGTTCTCCAGGACCTGACGGAGCGAATCAGTCCTGCCTGAACCACCGTTTCACTCATGCATGGAGCCGCCTCAGCTTTGACCCATCTAGCTGCCCCTGCACACAGAGCGCAGAGCATTTCAGAGGAGGCCCCCTTGCTGGTCCTGGACTTCAGCCTCCCCACTAGCAGCCTCAGTGGCTCTTCCTGGGCCCTACAACTGCCCTTCCCGTTCTCAGTGGAGCTGGCAGGGAGCACAACCGCCCGCTCTGCCCCACCACCACCGACAGATGGATGGGGGCTGATATTTGGGACTTTCCTGCCAGGCGCACAGTTCCCATGCAATCCACAAACCAGTCACAGAACCAGCCGTCTGTGTGCCAGGGACCTTGTTGGGAGAGTGGAAAGTGCTTCGGAGAGAGGGGCACTGCTGCCGTTCTCCTAGCGGCCCTGGAAGAGCCAGCTTGCTGTTTGGCTTACCATTCACGGGCCCCATCCCCTGCCGGCCCCGCATGAGATCTTCTGACTTGTGTCCTGCACTGAGACTCGCCCCTGTGGCTGGAGCCGGCAAGTGGAGCGGGGCAGGGCAGCCACTGGTGCCCAGGGGGAGAAGGGGCCAGTGAGGCGGCGCCGCCCACCACGTGGGCTCCACGAGGACTCCGGCTGAGACGGAGGTGAGCCCCGCATTCAGCGGGGAATAATCCTCAGGAGCAGATGCAAGCATGCGCCGTCGCGCTTCACTTCCATGTCACCCGATGGCCGGGGCTCCCCGGGCGCCCCACGGCAATGCTCTCGCTTTCCCCCAAGCCCCTGAGGGGTTCAGAGCCCCGGGCGGTGGCGGAGCTGCGGGGCCCTTTGCAGCCCCCCGGCGAGAACCGCCGCCTCCCTCGCCTTCGCCTTGCAGGCACGCGCAGATCCGGGCAGCGGGAAGGGAAGAGGCGCGCCAGGCCAGGCCAGGCCAGCGGCCTCCGCGGAGCTGCCCGGGGGCGCCGAGGGTGCACCGGCCCGCTCGGCTGCAGAGGCGGGAGGGAGGGAGCCGAGCGGCCGTTCCTAGAGAGGCAGGCGATCTGGGAGGAAAGGGGCGGGCCTCCCGCGGCCTTTTCCTGCCCCCCCCCCCCCGTCTTCCTGCAGCTTGAGCTTGGAAGGGCCGCCTCGGGCCTCCCCGGCGGGACTCCGTCCCCGTTGCCCCGGTGCGTTGGAGTGAATCGGGGCCCCCGCCTGGGTGCAGGGGAGGAGAGCGCGCGAGGAGGGGCGGGGAGGCCCGGGGGGGCGGCCCCCCAGCTCAGTCCCTGGGGTGCGTGGGGGGGGGGGTCTGATTGCACGGCACTGGACCCGCCCCCGTCCCCGCCCCACCGCATAGAGGGAGGCCCTGTCAGGCTGGCCCACCTTGATCGCCCCCAGCGCCGGGGGAGATGCCCCTCCTTCCTCCGCTCGGCGGACGGAGCCGCTCCCCGGATTTGGCAGGTGCGCGGGGGGGGGGGCTTTGAAGTGAGCCGCGACGCCGATTAAACGGCTATTTAGATTGTCTAAAATCACCCCCTCATTCACCGGGCTCCCCCCACCGCAAATCCTGCATGTGGGCGGGAGGCTCCCCTTGATTTCTGTTGGATTCGCTGGAGAAACAGCAACCAAAGGTGGACAAAATCAGACGAAGGTGGGAGAGGGATCGCCAAGGCAGCTGCTGCTGCAGATTTGGAGTGACTCCAAACGGCAGGAATTTTTTTTCCAGTTATTTAATGGATTGCTATTGCCATTGCATAGCTAAAGGTCAGAAAAGAGCTGGAGCCGACCCTGTGATTACTTGTTTGCAGACAGAATTAACTGGGTAGGTGTCCTTTCTAGATGCAAATGGCTGATGATAAATTAATCCATACATGTGAAGGGGTAAAATAAAAGAGGTAATAAATGAAAAAAGAAAAAAACAAAGAGGTGCTCAAAAACCCCAACAGGAAGAAAGCAAGCCTCAACAAAGCACAGTCCCACTTTCTGATGCGAATGAAACTTCTGGTCTCCTTGGAAATTAGGAGCTGCATCCCAGTGAGGCTATGACAGGATTGGACCCTCCATCTGCTGGTGCAGTGTAGGTCAGAAACCAGGAGATATATTTTGTGTCTGTTTTTATTAAGTATGAAAAGGTTTGCCTGAAATAAAAGAGAAATATAGGCATGTATCAGAATTTCTATCTCACAGGCATAGTTAATTCAGCCTGCATCGTGTATTGACCTTTAAACGAAACAAGGATGGTTTCTTCAAATGACTGACAAATGTCAGTAAGCCAAGCTTAAGGTAGTTTGGTGTAAGAGAGGCTTGCGGAGAAGAGGACAGGAGTGGAAGGGGTCACTGGGGCACTGATAAAGAATAGGTAACGCCTCAAAGGAAACCCTTGAGAAGAAGAGAACTATTAGGAAGTTGCATAGTGTCAGGATCAGCGGAGCTGGGTTGGGGTTAGGGAGAGATCTTCTGGCTTTTAAGCAAGGGAATGGGTTTTATCCATGATCAATGGTGAAGGTTCCTGCTCAGGTCTCTGGTTTCCCTTTGCCTCCCATTCTGGCCGGGATGAGACCTGCTTCTTAGCTGGAGTCCTGCTGATTTCTTCTTATCCTGACGATATAACAAGTTTCCAGGACAGCACTGTTTCGCCTTTATAGTGCCTTAGTAGCTCTACCTCCTAAGGCAAGCTTTGCCCATTATAGAGAAATTATACAGAATAATTTCTTTGCCCCCCTTTCAGTTTTGTTGGAACACGGATCAAAGATGGCAGAGCAAAATTCAGCTGGCCCTAAAGCACAAAGCGAACGTGGTGCCATTAAGACTGGGAACAATGAGGAATTCCTGGAAAGAACTGCGGAGAAGATCCAGGGTGAGGAGCAAGTCAGCTCACATTTGCAGCTCCAGCATTTTAGGCAGTTCTGCTATGAGCCAGCTGAGGGCCCCCGAGAAGTTTGCAGCCAGCTGCACAGTCTTTCCCGTCAGTGGCTGAAGCCGGAGCGACACACCAAGAACCAAATGCTGGACCTGGTGATCCTGGAGCAGTTCCTGGCCATCCTGCCGGCGGAGATGGCCAGCTGGGTGAGGAAATGTGGAGCGGAGTCCTGCTGCCAGGCGGTGGCCCTGGCGGAGGGCTTCCTCCTGAGCCAGGCCGAGGACAAGAAGCAGGAGGAGCAGCAGGTGAGGGCCTTTCGTCCAAAGGGACAGGGATGGGAGGGGGAAGACCCGAAAATTCTCTCCCAGTTGTCCAGCCCTTTCTCAGAGTTACCCAAGGTGAGGCGTTCCATACCTTGCCTCCAATATTTCCCCTCTCTCTTTCTTCTCTAATTCTTCAATTTGTTTCATGGCCTGGATCTTTGCTGCTCTTCCAGGAAAACCGCCTGCTTGCGGAAGTGATCCCGGAGTTCCCTGCAGGAGAGAAAGCCCAATCGGATACCTGGCAGAGGCCCCCACAAAGGGTTCTCAGCCAGCGAGGTCGTGGGCAGGCCACCTTGGAGGGTAAGCATTAATGTGGGGTGTCGATATGCGACAGATCCTTGGGCTATTTTACCTTGTCCCCGAGTTCGGTGTTAGCAGAGATGCTTGTCTCCAGCCTTTTTTTTTTTTTTTTTTGGTAGCTGAACACTTTGTTCCTTAAGAGGAAAGAGGAGCAATTCTATGCTATGGAACTATCAAGTTGCATATTAGAGAGAAATATTGTGGCCTCCAAGTATACGAGTCTTGCATCCGATGCAGTGCAGTTCTGTGCTTTTGATGGGAACATGGGAGCCGCTGTACTCCTAGGGGCTTCCTTTTGAGCAGTTTGGGATGTCGCCCTCCGCCTCTGAGACAGGCATGTGCTCCCAGCTTCCCATCGCCTTTGTCTCTCACAGGGGCTGGACTGACGCTTGCAGCAGCTGCTCCGCCGTCTCTGCCTCTTCCTGATGGCGTGGAACCGGATCAGGTAGGGGGGAAGATCCCTGTGGGGACAGGCAGGGAGCAGCTGGGGAACCGTCGTCCCTGCTCACTCTCTAGGGCCAAACTGCAGGTCTCTCCTCCGGTTTCCTTCTGGCAAAGCTGAGATCTTAAGCTGAGCCCTGCGGGGCCGGGTCCCGTCTCCCAGCTCTCTGTTTCTCTCAGGGGCAACCAGGCCCCTTGGGAATCCCACACACTACACAGGAGAGCTGGAGCCCTTTTTTGCTCTCAGGCTTTGCTGCAACGGGTTTGCCCAGCAAGGCGCTCCAGCCCTGCAGTGCGATGGGAGCCACCTCGCCCCATCATGGCCGACGAGAGAACATTCTGTGTTTCACCCAGGGACCTGTGACTTTCGAGGAGGTCGCCGTGTGCTTCACGCCGGAGGAGTGGGCCCTGCTGGATGCTGGCCAGAGAGCCCTGCACCGGCACATCATGGAGGAGAACCTTGGGATCGTGGCCTCTCTCAGTAAGTCTCCTGCTGGATTTATGATACTGTAGTTCCAAGTTAGAGAGATACTATCCCAATTTGGGACACAGCTATATTAATTTTTGATTTGAGGCTGCCTTTTAAGACACAGTCTTGGAAGATGAATCAAGAAAATGCTATATATAAATATATTAAAGCCACCAAGTTATTAAACAATCTTCTAATATAGTGGTTTAAAGACAGGGGCCTCAAATGTATCATAAACTTTTGTATAAGATGCTTTACAACGACTCAGATTCTAAAAAAATGCTAAGAGCAAAGCTTTGATTAGGGAAAAAAATTGAGAACAAGCACCGGCATGTGGAGTTTGGTTGCATATTTCAGTACCTCCAGTTCTCTTCTTCCAGTGTATCAGGATTTTTCTATTCTTATTTACCAAAACATTGATAGTCCTGCCTTGCCGTGAAACTACAAACTACACAGGAGCTTCTACTGGTGAGAATTCAGAACAAAATATGAAAGGCACAACATAATTGAAAAAAATGAATAGCATCTGGTCCTCAAATTGTTAGGACACATTCAGAACTGCACCAAAACACCCCCTGACCTCGCAGAGGGGTGGCTTAGCAAGCACCCCAAAACGCTCTTATTTCACAGAACTCAAGCCAAGAGGTTCTCTCTCGGTGCCGTTTCTTCAAATTGCAGTCCCTGAGTTCTGCTGCTCTTTGCCTGAACTCCACAGAACCCACAGGGTTCCCCAGACTCTGGAAACCAACTGTAAATCTGCTGGGAGACCAAGGTGGTGTCCATAGCATGGACCCAGGGAAATGAGGGGTCCACCTGAGCTGGTGGTTGATTTGTTCCAGGGAGATCACTGGAGGACTGGCATCTGGTTCTGTACTTGGATCTGACTTTGCCCATTCAAACGCTATCTGAATATGGGCATTTTTTAACCACTTGGCGATGCTGCATGATTGTCTATGCAATTGACAGGACTCATAGATAACCTGAATTTCATTCAAGTCTGCAGTAGCAGTCTTCCAGACAAGCAGCCTGCAATGAAACCTGAGAGCAGGCTGAGAGAAAGTAGATAGATTGTGCTTTCAGCTGAAAGTTTAACTCAGTTCTGCCTGGCCTCAGTACAATACAAATTAACACACTGAATGCCAGTCAACAGAGGCACCTAAATGCATGGTAAGTTTTGCATACCATGTTGTAAATCTTTTCAGTTCTTTTCTCAAAATACTTAAACCGAAGTTAATTCGATTAATTCTTGTCTAAATGTAAAGGTAAAGGTTTCCCCATGACATTAAAGTTCAATCATGTCTCACTCTTGCGGGTGGTGCTCATCTCCATTTCCTAGACGAGGGAGCCAGCGTTTGTCCACAGACATTTTCCGTGGTCATGTGGCTGGCATGACTAAACACCTGTTACTGAAGTGGTACCTTTTTATCTACTTGCATTTGCATGCTTTAGAGCTGCAAAGTGGGCAGGAGCTGGGACAGAGTACGGGAGCTCAGCCCATCTGGGGATTTGGACTGTTGCCCTTTCGATCAACCAGCCCAGTGGCTCAGCAGTTTAACCCACTGCGCCACCGCATCCCTACATTATTGTCTACTATTAGACTAATGAAAGCCTCCTAGTAATTCAGGCTTTTACCAATCTCTTGTTTTCCTTTCAGAAGAAGGCAGATGGGAAGAGGAAAAGAGAAGAGAACCATGTGGAATGTCACGAAAAAGAGGGAAATGTAAAGAAAGCATAGAGCAGAGAAGGAAAACGAAAGTTAATTGCAGTAGGAGAAATCATTCCTTTGCCTTTGAGGACAATGGCTACTATGATCTTGAAATTCAAGAAGAAATACAGAAAAGGCAGCCAAATGAGGAGTTCCAACTCACCAGGAAAATATTGAATTCTGAATCAAAAAATAAAGCTCATTCCAAAAGTCATACATTCAAGGAACCATATAAATGCCTGGAATGTGGAAAGAGCTTCAGTCAAAAGGCAAATTTCACTTGTCATCAAAGAACTCACACAGGAGAGAAACCATATCATTGTTTGGAGTGTGGAAAAAGTTTCAGTCAGAAGAGGAGTCTCATTGAACATCAAAGAATTCACACAGGCGACAAACCATATAAATGCTTGGAATGTGGAAAGAGCTTCATTCGGAAAAGAACTCTTACTCGCCATCAAATAATTCACAGAGGGCAGAAAATATATAACTATCTTGAGTGTGAAAAGAACTCTTTTCATAAGATAAGTTTAACTTTTCATAAAAAAACTCACACTGCAGAAAAAACACACTATTGTTTGGAATGTGGTAAGAGTTTCAGTCAAAAGACTTATCTCACTTCTCATCAACATATTCACACTGGGGAGAAACCATTTAAGTGCATGGAGTGTGGAAAGAGCTTCAGGCATAAGAAAACTCTCACTTCTCATCAACGTATTCACACAGGTGAAAAACCATACAAATGTTTGGAGTGTGGGAAGAGTTTTAGGCATAAGAAAACTCTGACTTCTCATCAGAGAATCCACACACGGGAGAAACCATATCATTGTCTGGAGTGTGGAAAAAACTTCAGTCGGAAAACAATTCTCACGCGCCATCAAAGAACCCACACGGGGGAGAAAAAGTATAAGTGTTTTGAATGTGGAAAGAGCTTCCGGCATAAATCAACTCTTACTTCTCATCAAAGAATCCACACAGGGGAGAAACCATATGAATGTTTTGAGTGTGGGAAGAGTTTCACTCGGAAAACATACCTCAATTCTCATCAAAGTACTCACAGTGGGGAGAAACCATATAATTGTTTGGAGTGTGGAAAGAGCTTTGGTCGAAAGACATATCTCACTTCTCATCAAAGAATACATGTGGGAGAAGACATTCTTTAGCATGTGGAATGAGTTTTAGTGAGGAGAAATTTCATTGTATATTAACAAACTTACATAGGCAAAATAATATCCCGGGACAGAACAGGCCCACCACCACCGCCCGGGGACTGACCGGCTGCCGCAGGCGCCGCCGCTGTCCCGACAGACGGCGGCCACCGGGGACCGGGGATGCTGGTGGCCTGCGGCTCCTCCACCTGTGCCGGCAAGTTCTCCATGGGTCCCGCCCTTGCCCCTCCCCCCACGTGGGTGGCAGCCCCGCCAAATTGGGGGCAGGGCGGTGCACAGGGAGGGGCCATGGCTTAACTCACCGGACGCAGCCAGAGGCCTCAGGCCGGCGGCCGAAGGGCGACTGCCTAAGGACGTTGTCACCATTTGGAGCTGTTCGGGGCTGGGTTGGGCCAGGAACTTTGTGTGTGTGTGTGTGTGTGTTTGTAGTGGGTGGGTTGGAGGGTTTTAATTGTATGTTACTGTATTTGTACAATATCTATTGTATGGCATAGAAGAAGGAGGGACAGATGGTTGACACCTGTTCCTCCTTTTGGTTATTCCTCCAACTGGAAGGTTCCGGGTAAGCTTATCAACCGCCCTTTGGGCCTGACGGTGCTGCTGCTCAGTGCCAGGTTGGTCCATAATAAAACATCCCTCATCCACGACTTAATTGTGGATGAGAGGGCTGACCTGGCTTGCATTACAGAGACCTGGGAGAGACAGCTGTGCCCGCCCGGGTATCTAGTTCGGCACCAGTCATGTCTGGAGGGGAGGGGAGTGGGGGTCATTTTAATTTACCGAGCTCCAATTTCCCTCACGGGGCTTCCTGTCCTCTCGAGACCACGTCTAGAGTGCTTATACCTGGTGCTGGGCAACCAAGACAGATTGGGGATTCTGCTGGTGTACCGTGCACCCTTCTGCCCATCAGACTCCCTGCCTGAACTGACTGAGATCATCTCGGACCTGGTGTTGGACCCCCAGGATGTTGGTCCTGGGGGACTTCAATCTCCATGCCGAGACTGTTCTGACCAGGGCGGCTCAGGACTTCATGGCCCCCATGACAGCCATGGGGCTGTCTCAACATGTCACCGGCCCAACCCATGAACGTGGTCACATGCTGGACCTGGTTTTCTCGACGGGGCAGGAAGAGGGTGGTCTGAGGGTGAGGAATTTGTGTCTGACTCCCTTGTCATGGTCAGATCACCTCCTGGTGAGGTTTGTGCTCGAGAGCAGCCTCTCCCTCTAAGGGTGCGGACCCTGTCGTAATGTTTCGCCCTCGGAGCCGGATGGATCCGGTTGGATTCCTGAAGGCTCTGGGGGATTTTCCGGTTGATAAAGCTGGCGCTCCTGTTGATGCTCTGGTTGAACTGTGGAACGGGGGAATGGCCAGAGCAATTGACATGATCGCCCCTAAGCGTCCTCTCCTGCCACGCAGAGCCCATTCATCCCCATGGTATACATCTGAATTACGGGCGATGAAGCGGGTTGGGAGACGTCTAGAGCGTAGGTGGAGGAAATCATGGGATGAATCTGACCAGACACGCTTACGTGCTCATTATCGAGCCTATGCTGTGGCGGTGAGGGTGGCGAAGAAGAAATTCTTCTCCAATTCCATTGCCTCCTCACAGTGCCATCCAGCAGAGCTTTTTCGAGTGGTACATGGGCTGCTATACCCCTGCCCTAAGAAAGATCCTGTGCCACCATCGATGGCCCACTGTGACGACTTTGCCCAGCATTTCAAGGAGAAAATCACTCAGGTTCATCACAAGCTGGACTCCACAAGTGATTCAGATCCTTTAGGGGAGATGCCAATGACCCCATCTGGTCAGGTATTAATGGATGAATTTCAGTTAATGCGGCCCGATGATGTGGACAAGGTGCTCGGACAAGTACGTCCTACCACCTGCTTACTCGAACCTTGCCCTTCGTGGCTGCTGACCAAAGCCAAACACAGGATTGGTTCCTGGATCCTGGAGGTTCTTAATGCTTCTCTGAGGGACGGCTGGGTGCCCGCTCCTTTAAAGGAGGCGGTAATCAGGCCTGTTCTAAAGAAGGCGTCTCTGGATCCAGAGATGGCCGCCAATTATAGACCCGTGGCCAACATCCCATTTCTGGGCAAGGTGTTGGAACTGGTGGTGGCGGGACAACTCCAAGCACTCTTGGATGAGATTGATTATCTGGACCCATTTCAGTCTGGCTTCAGACCCGGGTACGGTACTGAATCTGCCTTGGTCGCCCTGTATGATGACCTGTGCAGGGAGAGAGACAGGGAGTGTGTCCCTGTTGGTTCTCCTGGACCTCTCAGCAGGTTTTGATACCATCGACCATGGTATCCTCCTGGATAGGCTGGCGGGAATGGGAATAGGAGGCACTGCTTGGCAGTGGTTCCGCTCCTACCTTGACGGCTGATTCCAGAAGGTAGTGCTGGGGGACTTTGGCTCTTGCCATGGCAACTTTGCCATGGAGTACCGCAGGGTTCCATTTTGTTCCCCTTGCTATTCAACATCTACATGAAACCGCTGGGAGAGGTCATCAGGAGGTGTGGGCCGCGGAACCATCAGTACCCTGTTGATACCCAACTCTACCTCTCATTCTCCACCAATCCAGGTGAGGCAGTGGCTGTGCTGAACCGGTGCTTGGCCGAGGTAATGGGCTGGATGAGGGCCAATAAACTGAAAATCCGGATAAGATGGAGATTCTGATGGTGGGTGATTCGAGCTCCTGGGTAGGTGACTTGGGCCTTGCCCTGGACGGGGTTGCACTCCCTCTAAAGGACAGGGTCCACAGCTTGGTATTGCTCCTCGACCCGGTGTTGTCCTTGGAAGCTCAAGTGACAGTGGTGGCGAGGAGCGCTTTCCTTCAGCTTCAGCTAATCCATCAGCTGCGTCCCTACCTGGAGGAAGATTGCTTAGCAACAGTAACACATGCATTGGTTACTTCCCAGTTGGACTTCTGTAATGCGCTTTATGTGGGGCTGCCCTTGAAGACAGTCTGGATACTTCAGATGATGCAAAACAGAGCTGCCAGGATACTGTTGGGGACTGGGCGTTATTCTTATATAACCCCAGTCCTCTATCAGCTCCATTGGCTTCCCATCGAAGTCCGGGCTCAATTCAAGGTGCTGGTTATTACCTATAAAGCCCTAAATGGCTTGGGACCAGGATACCTAAAGGAATGCCTTCTTCCCTATTTGCCCTCCCACCCCCTGAGATCGGCAGCAGAAGCCCTCCTCCGGGAACCTTCTCTGAAAGAGGTTAGGAGACAGAGTACCTAGAGGAGGGCCTTCTCTGCGGTGGCACCCCAACTATGGAATGCACTCCCTAGAGAGGTCCGCCTGGCGCTGTCATCATATGTTTTTCGGCACCAGGTTAAGACCTTTTTATTTCATCAATATTTTAACAAGTTTGAATTTTGAATTTTATTACTGTTGTTGTAAGCCGCCCCGAGGCTTCGGCGAATGGGGCGGCATAAAAATGTTTAAATAAATAAATAAATAAATCACCATATTTTAATTGCAGCCAGAGTGGATCATTAATTTATTTATGTTATACTGTTATGTATAGGTATTTTATTTGTGTAAGCCGTCCTGAGGCTCTCGCAAAGAACGGCATACAGATATCTTAAATAAATGATGCAGGGGGACCCCAAAAAACAGGAATTTATTTATTAAAATTGTCTATTTATTTTGGCATGTGCAAACTTCCATTGCTTTCAAAGCACTCTTCGTTTGATGCAATACACGTATTGAGATGTTTTTTCCACTGCTCATTCAAAAATGAGTTGTTGAACTCATTGATTTGGATGCCCTTTAGCGCTTCTGCTGTTCTTTGTTTCACCTCTTCCACATAGGCAGAACGTTTCCCTGTAAAAACTTTCTTCCTCCGGGGAAACAGTCCAGCTTCACAGAGAGGGTGGGGCGCAAGAGTCGGGGCCTTTTTGGTCAAAACCTACTGAACACTCGGCTGAACAACATTCCACTGCCACAAATTGTTCGTGTAAAACGGCCATCACGGGATAGCCAAATGCATTGAGAGTCTCCAGAAAACCCTCACTGAAGCCGAACGCAGCCTCACAACCCAGCTGAGCGCACTGAGGCCGGTGGGTGCCTAGAACACTCACCTAGTGGGGGAGGCCTGTACTGCAAGGGGCCCACCTTCTGGACCACAATTCCTGGTTTTTGGTTTTGATTTTTTTTTTTTTTTGGCATTCCCGTCCCCCCCCCCCCTTGTGTGAACACTGACTGTGGAAAGAACTTCTGCTGGGGTGATGCATTGACTTTACTTACATGGGGGAAATGTGTTGTATAAGCAATGTGTTGTGTAAGGAAATGCCAACCGAGTCATTTATTAATGTGCTGAAACTCAGATCATGGTCTGACTTATAGTATTAATGCACCGTGAAAAAAGAGTGATGTGTAGACCATATAATGTTCTTGAATATGGGGTAGAACAGATTTTTTTCATTGAATGTATATTTCAAATTTTTGAATACATTTTTCAGCCTTATAAAAGGGTTAAGGAAAAAAACTTATCAGTTCCATTATATTTGTGAGCAAAACCAAAATAATGCTTCATTCAAGACTGAATGGACCTCTCCTTTGTTTGAGGTTAAAACTAAAGTGAATTCTACAATTAGGCTGCATTTCAAACCAGCCTGAAAAAAACTGGGACAAATTAAAGACTGCTTAAAAATGACACCCCCATCTAATTTTCAGAGCGGCAGGCCATAATACATTTCAGGACCTGGATGGTCTGGGACACCATTGCTTGTTCCAGGTAGTCAATTCTCCTCCACTGGAATTGGGCCTAAAAGAATAGCAAAAAAAATCCTTGCCCACTCGGGGTGGGTGGGAGCCAAGTTGTATTGTCGCCAGTTGTGCTTCCTTACCTTCCCATCTCATGTCTGTGAAGGCCTTCGCGTCTAGTTAACTGGCCCTGTGCAGTGTCTGCCAATATATATTCAGGCATTAAAGCCCTGCTAGTTTGAGGTTTTTTCATGTGGGTTTAAATTCCTCAAACCAGGAACGTGAGTGACATTCCCCACGAGCAGCGAGCATGGCATGGAACGTCCGCAACTTGTGCGTTCTCATACTCCACCGATGCACCCTTAAATTCTTGCATTCTGTTCTGTTAAACCAACAGAATATTAAACTAATTTTAAACCATGCTTTTAATAGCATGGCTTATCCTGCTGCTGCACAGAAGATGGCTTGTCACATCACAGCTTAATTATTATTTCATCATTTCATTAATAGAAATGTAAACCCATGTGGACATTCATCCTCATACTCTCAAGTCCTGAACCGCTTTGAGGAATTCCAGAGAAACACAGGAAGAATACGGGGAAAAGGGTTTCTACATCAAAACAATTCATTTGTCACCATCCGCAATTTCTTCAGTTCTGCAGTAGTATCCTGGGAGAGCCGGGTGAGCCTGCCTCTCGGAAGGAGGGAAGTGAATGCATGAGATCCAGTTGCGTGAGGTTTGTGCACTGAAGAGGCGGGCAGGAGCTGCAGCGTCCCTCGGTTGCCCGCCTCCTCCTGCCTCAGGGCAGCGCGGGATGTTTCCGCGCCCTCCCGGGGGAGATGCAGAGACAGGGCCCTGCGGCTCGGCGTCTAAGGGGTTAAGGAGACGGAGCGGCGAGGCTCCTAGAGCGGGGGGGGGGGCAGCGCTCCACCGGAAACGCCCCTCGCCCCCGCCTCTTCCCGCGAGCCTCCTCCCGGGGGGCGGGACGTGGGTCCTCCTGCAGGTGCTGCGTGGGGCTCCTCTGCGGGGCCAGGTAAGGCCCCCATCCCGCCTGGCGCGCTGGGGCGGGGGGGCGTCCCTGAGCTGCTGGGGGGGGAGGGGGGGGCTGGGGGGGGGCGTCCCTGAGCTGCTGGGGGGGGGGTGGAGCGCTGGGGGGGGCAGATCCAGCCGCCGCCGTCCGCGGTGGCCATTTCTCCGCCTGGGGGCGAGCGGCGCCTTCCCCGAGAGCGAGGGGAGCTGTGCTCCTGGCCCGCTTGGGGCCTCTGCCCCGCCCTGTAATCAGGGAGCTCCCCCCTCTCCCCCTCTCGGCAGTCCGGGTGCCCCCGCGGATTTGGGAATGGGAAGGGGGACGATCTAGAGGTCTTGCCGGGTTAACCGGGTCCTGCTCCCGCTCCGCATAGGGGGGTCCCCTGATGCAACTCTGCATGTGACTCGGACGCTCCTCCTTTTTTCCTGGTCTAGCCAGACTGACAGCAGCAAGGAAGAGTGGCCTGGGGGAGACGAGGTTCCCCCCCAAGGCCAGGCCTCCCGTGAGGCAGCTGAGTGGGGACCCATCACAAGGGGGCAAAACCAGTTCTGTAACTTATCTATTGTGGTTTACATTTCACTGCAGGGTTGTGGGCAGGGGAGGAGGTGGGCATGCACTCGCGGGATGCTTTTAACTAAAGGCAGCGAAAGATGCTGAGCCAGCCCAGTGATGCCGCCCTGCAGCGAGAGTGGAGAGGAGTCTTTTTGGGAAGGAGGAGAGAGCTGAAAAAGACATGCTTCGGTGAACCTCAGTTTCTGACTGGTGCCAAAAGTTGAACCTCCTCAGAAGCAGGGCCCTGCCCTCTGGGAACATGGGTTTTGTTCCAGGGAGGCAGCTACTGGCTGCACCTGTCAGGTGTAGCAATTTCATCTTTGATCCTGTGTACCTCAGAAAATCTGGGACAATTGTTAGATGCCGTCTTATTTCCTGACAAATTCTACTAAGTCGACCATGGAAGGCTGAGAGAGGGAATGTAATTTTTGTGAAACGGCTGTTTAGAGATGAACTGGCAGGGGTGGGGGGATGCGATCACTTCTGTTTCTTACACAGGGAAAAGACAGGTGATGCTTGCATGTTCAGGATCTCCCTAAACCTCTAGTTTTCCTGTGAGGCTTGGTCAGCTGGGGCAAGCTGTGCTTGCTGCAATAATTTTCAGATGTTATCTTGGTCTGTAAGTTTAATCATGATTGAACATAATGTTGTTCTTTCACAGATCCTTAGTAGGACAATCTGATGCAGCAATATTTGCCCAGATAAGGAGGAGGAACTGTTCCTTAGGCAGTGTTGGCGGTGTTTTGGAACACAGACGCAAGATGGCCAAGCAAGATTCAGCAGGCTCTGAAGCACAAAGACACTGTGTCTTTAAGAGTGGGAGAATTGGAGAACTCAAGGAAAGAGCAGTGCAAAATGTCCTGGGTGAGGACATGGTTGATCCATATCTGCAGCTCCAGCGATTCAGGAAGTTTCACTACCAGGAAATGGGGGGACCCCGTGAAGTGTGCAACCAACTCTGCCATCTTTCCCGTCAGTGGCTGAAGCCAGAGTGTCACACGAAGAACCAGATGCTGGACCTGGTGGTCCTGGAGCAGTTCCTGGCCATCCTGCCAGCAGAGATGGCCGGCTGGGTGAGGGAATGTGGAGCAGAGACATGTTGCCAGGCGGTGGCCCTGGCGGAGGGCTTCCTCCTGAGCCAGGCTGGGGACAAGCAGCAGGAGCAGCAGGTGAGGGCGTTTCATTCAAGGGGTCGTGACTGGGAGGGAGAAGAACCTAAAACTCCTAATTGCCCAGTCTGTGCTGGAAGTTGCCTCAGGAAAGACGACTCATTCCTCACCCCCAACTTGTTTGCTGTTTCAGGCAAAGAGTCTGTTTGCAGAAGTGACACCTGAATTCCCAGCAGCAGAGGAGGCTCCACCAGAGACCAGACAAGGGGGGATCAGGCAGGAGGGTGATGAAGGAGGCTTGCAGGGTAAAGATTGCTTTGTGGATGGGTGTCTTTCAACCTGTTCTCACTCCCTGGATTAGGCAAGAGTTCCTCGGGCTGATTGTGTTCTCGCCCAAGCTTGTTCTGGGTAAAAACGTGTGTCCAGCCTTTTCCAGAATCCAAAACTTTAACTTTACCCAACTAAAGTATTGACAGGAATTGACAGGCAATTAAAGATATGACCTGTTGTGGTGAACATCACCTTCAGAGTGATTCTATGCATTTTGCTGGAGGTCTGTCCTCTTGTGTTCCAAGGGGTTTCCTTCTTAGGAGTTTAGGACTGTAATCGTTATTTGTTTTTCGGCGCCAGGCTAAGAACTTTTTATTCAAACAATATTTTAACAATGCTTAATAGTTATAAGTTTTAATTGTGCAGCCAGGCTGTTTCCAGGTTTTAATTGTATTTGTATTGTATTTATTTACTTGTGTGAGCCGTCCTGAGGCTATATAGCAAGGGGATGGCATACAAAAACTTTAAATAAATAAAATAAATCTTAGCCTATGCAACACCTGTGAGTTACCAGATCCCTGTCACTTTTTGTTTCTTACAGGGCCTGGACCGGTGCCAGTGGAGGTGACTTGGACATCTCTTCTTCACGATGGAGTGAAACTGATTCAGGTGGAGGAAGGAACACTGGAGAGGCAGGTCAGCAGCAGCCTGGGTGCCTCCCTCCCCTTTTCACTTTCTAGGGCTAGAACATGTCTCTCCTCCCGGCAAGGCTCTTCAGCTGAATTCCACAGGAATTTTCAACCTGCTGCTGCTTGAGAAGCCCACAAGGAGGATGGTAGGCCCAGAGTCTTTTCTTCGCTGCTCCTGCAGCAGTTGATTTTCACAACAAACAAATTTAAATCCTGCAGTTTAACGCCCAACTGTTTTGCTTTGTTTTATCCCAGAGAAGGAAACATTTCCTTTTTTCCTTTTCCTAGGCTCTGGTGACCTTTGAGGAGGTTGCTGTTTGCTTCACGGAGGAGGAGTGGGCCCTGCTGGATCCTGACGAGAGAGCCCTGCACCGCCAGATCATGGAGGAAACCCATGGGTTCGTGGCCTCTCTCCGTAAGACTGACTTTTCTGCTGAATGATACTGTCAAGTACCAAATGCATAGATGACAAGGAAGGCAATATTTGCATTTATGGCACACATTGAATAATATTGGTTTATTTAGGGTTTTGCTGCTGCTGCTGCTGTAGTAGGTTGAAAATTGCTTTTTTTGTTTGTGTGGAAGTGCACGCGATATTTGTAGATTTGCCTGGATAGTTTCCTTGTCAGTTTTGGGAAGATGAGACGAGATGGCCTATTGGATAACTTCTGTTGAGTTGCCAGGATCTCAGTGCTTAGCTCTGGATAGAAAAGATAAAGTGTGTCGGGGGGGCGGCATCAACAGAAAGGTGCACTGTCAGTTCAAACCTTGAAATTGAGAGGATGACATGGATAGGTGGTCGTGTCCACAGTTCTGTCTTGGTGCGTCTTCTGTTGCCACTTTAGCCTCCTTTTCTGGAGCTTTTCCGTTTGCCGCTGGCAACCAACCGTTTGCTTATATGCCGTCTTCTCGTGTCCTCGCTTTGGTAGCTGAAATTGGCTGGGAGCCAATTGATGAGGCAACCCTGCCGGCATCAGCTAGCTTTGAGAGCACACTTACACAGCTGCAGACGACTGACAATATACATACACATATACATTTAAATGCACATCCTCAGAAGCTGTGAAAATATGGCCCCCATTGCCCTTTTTGCCGTTCCAAAACGAGCAAGAAAAGAGAAGAAACTAGTGTAGGATCCCAAATGTGAGTGATGGGATTCTTCTGCTCTGGTCAAGCAGTCCTGGAGGGGCTCCAGATAACCCACGGTAAATTCACCCTGCCTGGCCCAGGCAACCTATTTATGGAACAAACATTCCCTAGAATAAATCATGGATTTTCAGAACGGATTGTTCATTAATCATAAGCCACCCTGCAGAAACAACCCTGGATTTGGATGCCGCAACTACCCACCATTGTTGGTCACTCATGGCTAGATGTTGTGTCTCGCAAACCAGGTTGCTGATACTCACATTACATTCTTCCCAGCTGAGGGGGAGGGATGGGAAAGAGAAGCGCCCTTCTTTGGCTGTGACCAACAGAACGGCATGGTTTGTGAAGCTCTGAAATGTGGGTGCAATCCTGGAAAGAGTCGGGAGGTCAGGAGACCAAGGTGGCTTTAGGAGCATGGACCTCAGATGAAACTGGTCCAGTAGTTTTGAATGGACCTGCTTTTAGTGAGCCGACACACGGAATTCATGAAACTCTGGAACTACATCCAGTTTCCAAAATCTTCACAGGCACAAAGGATATTACAAAGCCACAGAACAGTTATAGGACAGTTTGTAGGTGGTGATGGTAATTGTGCTGTGCCGCAAATAGTGGCATTTGGACAACTTGCCAGGGCCATCTAACATGGAATCCTCTGCAAAGGAATTGCTCAGCATGCAGCTATTGAAGATTGCCTCCTTTCTGAAACGCTAAGAAATTCTGGGTCTAGCAGCCTCCCCTGGTCATTGGTTGCATTGTTTTACTGCTTTGACAGTCAGGAAGTTTCCCCTGAAGTCCAGCTGGCTTCCTGTAAGTTGAGTCCTTTATTCTGTCTTGTGCCCTCTGGGATGATCAAGAAGAGATTGTGGCTTTTGTGCTTGTGATGGCCATTCAAGTATTTGAGAGTGCTGTTGTATCGCCCCTTAGTTTCTTCTTCATGAGGCTAAACATGCCCAGTTCCTTCAGTCCCTCCACACAGGGCTTTGTTTCCAGTCTCTGAAACACCCTTGTTGCCCTCCTCTGAGCCCTTTCCAGCTTGTCTGCACCTTTCTTCAACTGTGCCCAGAACGGCACAAAACATTCAAGACGAAGCCTAACTTGTGCCAAATACAGGGGAACCAATGCCTCACATATCCTGGAAGCTATACTTCTGCGTAGCTTCAGCTGTAGAGTGGTACACAAAACGCGTGCATGCATGCATGAAGGAAGCAGCCCAATAGAGCATTTGGGTTTTTTGCAGCTGCATCACATGGTTGGTTCATATTTAACTTGTGATCTACAATTCACGATCCTTCTTGCTTGTCATATTGTTGAGCCAAGTATCTCCCACCTTGTAAGTATGCATTTAGTTCGCTTATCCTATGTATAGAACTTGGCATTTGTCCATGTTGAATTTCATTCTGTTGCTTTCATCCCAATACTCCAGCCCATCAAGATCACCCTGAATTTTCTTTCTGTCTTCCAGTATATTTTGTGACATGGGCAGATTTGATAAGCATTTCTTGCACCTCTACATCCAAGTCAGTAATAAAAATGTTGGGGAGCACTGGGCCCGGGAGTGGGCCCCCAGCATGCCATTGCTTTTCTTGTGTTGGTGCAGAAAAAGAGTTTTTTGAAGAAAGAATGCCTGTGGTGGTCAGTTTTTATTGAAGTCTACAGTATCTCCCCTTCCCACAAGCCATCTGATCAAAAGTGTTTGATGTAAGTTAGGCTGAGAGAAAGAAAATGGCCCAGAATTTAATATCTTGGTTGAAAAGCTGACGCCAGATCTCTATGGTTCCAATCAAATTCATTATACCACAAGACAGTTAATTCCAGTCACCAGAGGCAATTAAATACTTTCTTAGCATTTTCATTTCTTCTCATTAAGGAAAACCATTAACCGAAAGTGCTCAGATATCTGAAGTTCTATTGCTAACACTGGCTTTTATCAATTTCTTGTATTCTTTTCAGAAAATAACAGGTGGGAAGTGAAGACTGAAAGAGAACCATATGGGGTGTCCCTGAAAAAAGACAAATATAAAGAGAGCAAAGAGCAGACAAAGAAAATTATACATAATCAGAATTGGAAGAATAATTCTTTTACTCCCCAGGGTAATGGTGACCATAGTATTACAGTCCAAGAAAAAATCCATGAAAGACTGGAAAAGGATCAGTGCCTTATCAGTAGAAAAACTTGCCATTCTGAATCTAACATTAAAGCCGATTACAAAATATACACATTAAAGAAACCATATAAATGCTCTGAGTGTGAAAAGAGCTTTGATCAGAAAGTAGCTCTCACTTGTCATCAAAGAACTCACAAAGGAGAGAAATCATATAAATGCCCGGAGTGTGGAAGGAACTTCAATCGGAAGACCCATCTTACTTCCCATCAAAGAACTCATACAGGGGAGAAACCATACCACTGTCTACAATGTGGAAAGAGCTTCAGTCACAAGATAACACTTACACAGCATCAAAGAACCCACACTGGGGAGAAACCATTCCATTGTTCAGAGTGTGGAAAGAGCTTCAGTCAGAAGAAACTTCTCACATGTCATCAGAGAACTCACACAGGGGAGAAACCGTATCAGTGCTTGGAGTGTGAAAAGAGCTTCAGTCAAAAAATAAGTCTCACTCAACATAAAAGAACACATACAGGGGAGAAACCCTATCATTGTTCAGAGTGTGGGAAAAGGTTCAGTCAGAAGACAACTCTCTCTCAGCATCAAAGAACTCATACAGGGGAGAAACCCTATCGTTGTTTGGAGTGCGGAAAGAGCTTCAGTCAGAATCAACATCTTAGTTCTCATCAGAGAATACACACAGGGGAAAAACCATATACTTGTTTGGAGTGTGGAAAGAGGTTTAGTCGTAAGGTAGCCCTCATATATCATCAAAGGTTGCATACAGTAGTGAAAGCGTATTAATGTTTGGAGTGTGGAAAGAGTTCCTCTCAGCAGCTAAGAATTCACAAAGGGTAGAAGATCTTTCATTGTCTGGAGTGTGGAAAGACCTTCAGTTTGATTAAACCTCAGTTTTATTCAAATCCACACAAGGGAGAAACCATATCCTCCTTTTAATATAGTGGGAAATATTGACATGCAAGCCACAAATATTCCCAGAATACAGAATGTACTCAGTGCTTTTTAGCTTTCTTTAATCAGTCTTTGTAACAGAAAACAGGTACTGTGGGGATGCAGAGGGCTAAGAGCACAACAGTTATGCACTATAATTCTGGTGCCAATTCAATGGGAATCTGACGACCAAGGACTTGGGAGGAATTTGCTCCCTTTTGTGACAGCCTCAAGGATGCCAGAGATGGCAGAGCTCAATATTAATGTCTGGCAGCTGGGGCAGATGATTGGCTTCAAAAGACTGGGAGGTGGGCCAGCTCCCCATGGGTCAGCTGGTTAGGCTGGCGGGGAATAAAGGGGAGTCATGGTGCGCTTTGTTCCTCTTTGGGCGCTCCGTGTTGCTGAAGAACTTGGTGCCTTTCCGTATGCTGCACTCGTGCTAGAGGTGGAAATACTCTGTCTAGGTTAGAAAAGAGTTTTCTTGTTTTGGGTCCTAGCGAGACAAAAAGACCTCAGGATTGGGGGGTGCTTGGTTGGCTCTATTGTAATTTGCTGCTTTCCAACTTCCCCCTTCCTTCCCCCGTTTCACTTTGTTTTATCCTTTTAACTTCTATGTTTTTTAAATCCCTCCACCCCTATGTTTTATCCTTTTAATGAACTTGGCTTATTCCACATGTTTAGGTGATCATGTGGTGAAATCCAGTGTCCGGCGGGATTTGGCCCAGTTGACTAGGGGAATGGGGAATCCCTGATGGCTGTCCATTATAATGTTTATTCATGATTGCAATATGGTTAAGAAGAAACTACATTGAATGAATTTGAATATGTGGAATTTGAGTGAATACGTGGAATTAGTAAAACGAAGAGAGTACTTCATTAAAGTGGAAGCATTACTCCTTTGGTTAAAGAAAGTAGAAAAAGTGTTCTGACATAATCAGAATGTTCTGGCATAATCAAAATTTTATGGTTTTTAAAATGACAGCTTAATCTAATATACCTTCACTGTGAAAATCTACTGGATGAAATCTATAACTGTGGAACTGCAAAAAGCAGCATGATAAATTGACAGAAGAACAGCAAGTATAAAACTGCTTAAAATTGTCGCATTTCTCCATTTTACACCAGATTTTGGAAAGAAAGGCAATATCTTTTTGTCAAATATCGGTGAAAAATACAGATGATGTTTTATTCTGTCTTAGTCAAGGAGGGTGCCTTTCATTGGCTTGGTGAGATGGTAAGCAGTAGGTCAAAAGATATTAAAGTTCCACTGCCCCATGAAGACCTGTGGCAACGAGCACCATGAAATGTATTTCATCAGTTTTTACTACTATTGTAAAGCTAAAATGAGGCTTTTTGCCACTTGGTTTGGCAGGATTCTGTGTTGCAGCTGTAATTCAGTGTATCCGACTTGCAGTGCCTGTTCCTGCAGCCGTGACTTCATGAGGCTGGAGGACACACAGCGTGCTGCCACATGAAAGCTGCTGATGTGTGTGTCCCACAGGCAGGCTTGGTCGCCAAAAGGGAGGGCTCAGAGGCTTGCCAAGATAATAAAGGACCGGGACAACTCCTTCCTGTCCTGAAACAATAGGAAAAATTGTGACTGCATTTGTGACTGCAGGCTAAGTCATAAGCAGGGGCAGTGTGTGACATTGTCCGGCTGCAACACCAATCGCGCATGGTGGTTAAGCCATCCCTCTTGGCTTGCAATGTGTTTGACTTCAGCCAGTATATATTCAATGACCCCAAATCGTGTCAGTTAAGGACTAGTGCTAAGGCCATCTTACATTTCATTGTTTTCAGGAATGGGGGGAAAGCTATATTCATACCTTTGCAGATGGAAAGCCAATGGGAGATAAAGCAAGCAGCTTTCTGGGATTCCTGCTTGGAGAGATGCAGAGAAATGATCCCATCTGCTTGCTGCTCAGCTCCTGGAGGGTTAAAGGAAGCAAAGCAGCAGGGAGAAGAAGGGGAGTTGGGAAAGGGGGCGAGTCCTCCAAAAGGTCTTTCCTGTTCCTCAGAGGAAAGAGGGCTTTGGATGTTCTCCACATGCTGCATCAGGGCCCACTTGGTGGGTTCAGGTGAGCCCTCCCCCCCCAGTCTGCCTGGTGCATTTGGGTGGAGGAAACTGAGGAAGAGAAGGGCCCCAATTCCACCCGAAGCGTGTTGGAGAGGATGTGCATTTGTTGCAGAGCGCCTGGGTTCCTGAAGGCTGAGGAGACCCAGAAGAAAATGGAGAATCAAAGAGCATGATGGGGCTGACCGAGGCGGAGGTATTTTTGCACAGCAGAACTGGAAAGCCGGGAGCGGTTGCAGAATGGAATGCACTGGATAAGATAAGCCGCCCTGTGCCATCCCGAGAGAGCGGCATGTGGCCAGCATGCTTGGCCGAGATAAGAGAAAGCCAGTGCAGCAGCTCAGCTCTGCTCTGCTCAAAGGAGCTCATTGTTCGAGCCAGTGGGACTAAGCTGATAGCGTCAACTTTAGGGTATGAACTGCCCGGGCTTTCCAGCTCGCGTGTGTGCCGGAACAGCGCCGCTACTGGTCCCCCACAGCCCTCGCCACGCTTGATCACCGCTGGAGAAGGGTCCATTGGTCGTCGTGAGTATTGGACGAATGCAAGTGTGAATGAGGCCTCTCTCGATTTTGTTTGCTGAGGATTGCTAAATTTGTATTCTTTATACTCTAGAATAAATGTTACACCCATAGTGTTTAAAACCAGATCTGGCCTTCAGTCTCTTTGCTTGGGGCTTGGCTTGGAAACCGGATAGTCGTCTCTTTCCTGAATCAAGGACCGCTTTATTTCTGTCACACACTCGCATCTCCCCCCTCCCCCTTTGCCCCCATGGGAGACCCCTCCCCACAGCGGTCCACTCCTCCCTTCTCACGGGAAAGCCTGGGCGGGGGAGGGCAGTCAGAAGGTCGAGCTGACGAGTGAAACGGGTCGGTCGATCGCGCTTCTGCCTCCGGGCGGGGAATCCTGCGCGGCTGTGCGGGAACTGCCCCCCCCCCCCGCGCCCGCCCGGGCCCCGCTGGACGGGCCCGGCCGACCCCTGCAGGCCAAAGGGGGTGCAGGAAAGGAGGCCCCCCCCCCCAGAAGAGCCCGCTGAGGAACGAGACGCCCGGTGGTGGTTTTGGGGAAAGGCAGGGCGCGGTCTCCGCCCGTCCCCGCCCCGTGGCGCAGGCGCAGGGGGGGGGCCCTTCGCAGCGGACGGGTGATAAATGCAGAACAGCGAGCCGGAAAGGCGGAGGAGAATGAAAAGGAGGCGCGAATGCACCGGAGCAGGAAAGGCGGCAGCCTCAGCCGAGCAGAAGTAGAAGCCCACTTGGGGAGGGGGAAGAGATGGCTGGTCTCCTCAGGAGCAGGAAGCGGTCCTGGGTAAATGGTTGCTTTGCGCCGGCTCCTGAGATCAGGAGGAGCATAGCGCTCGGAGGAAATGCAATGCCCAGCATGCGTAACATCTGGAAGAGGGAAGACATCAGCCTCCCGACCAAATGCAGGCTAGTCAACACAATGATTTTTCCAATTGCCATGTATGGCTGTGGAACTTGGACTCTGAAAAAGGCAAATAGAAGAAGGGTGGACGCTTTCGATTGGGGTGCTGGAGACACTTGCACGACCTGCAGAGATCATAAATAAAGAAGTGCTAGACTGAGCCTCGCCAAAAAGATCACTTGAAGTCGAGATCCTCAAACAAAGGCTGTCATACTTTGGTCACATCATGAGAGCTGACTAACTCGAAAAGTCAATCATGGTGGGAGTAATCAGTGGAAAAAGGTGCAGGGGCTGCCCGTTGGCCAGACACCATAAAGAAAGCCACTGGGGCGGACATGGTGGTCTTGAAGGAAGCAGTGAGAGACAGAGGCACGGAGAGCAAGGATCCGTAACGCGGCCAGGGTTGGGCACCACTGAAAGGCTGACGACAACGATGCTCCGGATCCTATCTAGGGCAGGAGTAGAACCTCCATCTGCTGAGGCAGTGTACCACCAACTGCAGGGGGAAACTCTTGGCTTCTCTCTTCAGAACGTCTAGCTTCTGTGTGTGCATGTGTCGCTTCAGTTGATTAATACATTGTGTTAATTTGTTTGATGAATTCATTGATCTTTAAAAATCAGATGACACATCAGCAAAGGTTTCCCCAAATGACTGACTGCCCAGAGCTCTTTGGCTGTGGGGTGGTGTAAAAAGGAAATTAATGATAGATTGAATTAGATTTTATGGAAATTGTATCATGGATGGCAGCAGGAGAAGGTGCCATGGAGAGTGTGTGGCTGGGGATTTGGTTGCAGAATCATAGAAACCGAGCGATTCAGAAGGGGCCTCCCGGGCCATCCAGTCTGACCCCCAGCTCCAGCCGGCTCCGCTCACGACATGCCACCATGTGCATGTCCAGCCGATCCTTGAACAAAAGCTCTGCCCTGCTCTTCCACCCCTGGCATAAGCCAACAACCCTCCCCGCACCTTCGGAGGAGCCGCAGGAAGAAGGAAGCCTCTTCCCTCCTCCCATCGCAGCTCAGGCTGGGCCAAAGACGGTGCCTGGAAGGGGCATCTCCTCCCAGGGCAGGGAGGGGGCAAAAGGCTTCCCTGGCCGGGAATCGAACCCGGGCCGCGGCGGTGAGAGTGCTGAATCCTGACCACTGGACCACCAGGGCGAACAATGGGGTGGACTCAGTGGCCAGCTGAGACAGGAAAAGTACTTCAAGGGGAACAAATGGGCCCAGGCAGACCTGCGTCACTTCAGCAAGAGAAGGTCTTTGGTCAATGGCTCCCAGGTGAATGACCCCCCCCCCAGTGTTCCCAGTCTGTCTTTGATTCTTGGTGTTCACTTGTCTTCCCTCTCTTTATCTTGTTCCAACAGCATCGTAATTCTTTAGAAGAACCATGTCACGCCAGAATAGGGGAAGAGTAGCCACTTCATGTTGTTGCTAGTTGCGAAGTCGCATCCGACCCATCCGACCCCATGGACAACACTCTTCCAGGCCTTCCTGTCCTCCACCATTCCCCGGAGTCCACCCAAGCTCACACCGACTGCTTCAGTGACTCCATCCAGCCACCTCATTCTCTGCCGTCCCCTTCTTCTTTTGCCATCTATTGTTCCCAGCATCAGGCTCTTCTCCAGGGAGTCCTTCCTTTTCATTAGGTGGCCAAAACATTTGAGTTTCATATTCAGCATCTGGCCTTCTAAAGAGCAGTCAGGGCTGATCTCCTCTAGGACTGACCGGTTTCATCACCTTGCAGTCCAAGGGACTCGCAGGAGTCTCCGCCAGCACCACAATTCAAAGGCCTCAATCCTTCGGCGCTCAGCCTTCCTTATGGTCCAGCTTTCACAGCCATACATTGCAACTGGGAAAATCACAGCCTTGACTATATGCACTTTTGCTATCCAAGATAAGGTGGAAGTGTTGCTTTGGTGAGTTATTTACTGTATTTCCATGCCATTCCATATCCAGGTAGTTTCAGCTTTGACACCACTGGAGACCTTGGAATCAAAAGAGACTGATGCCATTCAGATAAAGAGAAGTGAAGCATTTGTTCTGCCAAAGGCAAAGGGTTCTTTCTGGACCCGGAAGCAATGAGCACACAGAAGGGTTAAAGTCTGAAGGTTTTATTCTAAAACAGGCGCTATAACGTAAACAGACATAACAACATGGAAAAAGAAATACAATACCAAGTAAGCTTTCCTCTGTCAGCCATCAGGAGCCCCTCCTCGCGAGCAGCAAGGAAAAAACCTAATTTTGCCCGTGTGTGTAGCACCTTCCTCCCCTGGCTAGGTCTGCAATGAGCTCCCTTGGGCGGAGCCACAAGGCTTCTTTTCTATCCGAAATCTTAAGAGTTTTCCGTGCTGTAGAAAACTATGTCAAACCAGTTAATTAGCCACATCTGCTGTTGGCTGGTCTCACGGTGACAAGCTCCGCTGTTCAGTTCCTGCGTTCCAATGCTGTTCCATCCTAATTAGCAAGCGGCTTCCCTTGCATGCCGGAGAGCCTCATCTGAGTCTCCAAAGGGGGAGGGGAGGGATGTTAAGGTAGGAATAGAAGGGCAATTGTGTTCCTATCTCCTCAGCACACAAGAGTCTTCCGATGGTTTTTTCTACAGCATTCTGGGGCCCAAATGGCAGAGAACGTCGTGAGGGAGGACGCAGGAAGCTCACACAGACGCATCCAGTATGATCCGACGAAGGGCCCCCGAGAAGTTTGCAGCCAGCTTCACCATCTTTCCTGTCTGTGGCTGAAGCCAGAGCGACATGGGATAATTCAAATGCTGGACCTGGTGGTCCTGGAGCAGTTCCTGGCCATCCTGCCGGCGGAGATGGCCAGCTGGGTGAGGGAATGCGGAGCAGAGACGTGCTGCCAGGCGGTGGCCCTGGCGGAGGGCTTCCTCCTGAGCCAGGCCGAGGACAGGAGGCAGGAGCAGCAGCAGCAGGTGAGGGCCTTTCATCCACGGGGGCCAGAATGGGAGGGGGGAGATCCTAAGATACTCTCCTAATTGTGCCACCTGTTCTGGAGATACCCCAAAAAGAGATGTCCCATATCTTACTCCAGCATGTTCGCCTGCTTTCTTTTCTAACCCTTCCCATGTCTTGCATTCTGGTTGCCGTTTCAGGTACAGAATCTAGGTGCAGATGTGAGGTTTGCTTTCTCTTCAGCAGAGGTGGCTGCATCAAGCCCCGGACGGAGCTCCAAACAAAGGGGGACCTGGCAGGAGGGCAGCAGCTGCGTCACCCTGCACGGTAAAGATTAATTCGCAGACGGGTGCATTCCAACATGGTCCCACTCTCGGGAATAAGGACTAGTTCCTTACTCTCCTTCCACCTCTGAATCTTTGTGGGGGAAAGCACTTGTCTCCACCCTTTTGAAAAATTCAGAGGCATGTTTTAAGTTTCAAAACTTGGAAATTGTATTAATGGAAACCACCAGCTTGATTTGTGGCCCAGAGCCAAACTTGCATTATCAAAATGCAATTAGTGGTGTCCTTTAATGCCTGGGTATGCTCCAACTTGCATCAAATTCTGTGTGTTTGATCCAGGAGGTCAGGATAGTAATCTGAGGCTCTGCAACAAACATTCCCTACTGGCTTTGTCTCTCACAGGAGCTACAGCAACCTCAACAGTGGGTGCTTGGCCATCTTTTCTTTCCAACGGAGTGGAACCTGATCAGGTAGGGGAAGAAACGTTAAGGAGGCCTACAGGAAGGAACCTACCTGTCTCCATCCTTGATTTAGCACGAAGAGTTGGAAAATGCTGCTTTCCACTTCCTCTGGCAAAGCTAAAATCTTAAGCACAGCTTCTGCTGCTCAGAATGTCTGGCTGGCACCCGTTTCTCCCAATGGCCAACCATCCGGCCTTTTTGGAAGCCAACACAGTTGTTAATCCACAGCAGCTGGTGGTCGCAGCAAGCAGGTTTCAGTCCTGTACCACATGGCTTACCCAGTTTGCTTCATTCATTCATTCATTCATTCATTCATTCATTCATTCATTCATTCATTTAAAACATTTCCATGCTGCCCCCATCGCAACAAAGCCTCGGGGCGGCTCATAACATAATTAAAACATATAAATAACAAATTAATACAATTACAAATTTAAAAAACCCAATAACATCTCGGCTTAAAAATTTTAAAACCTATAAATACATAATAAATTAGTAATTAAAGTAAGTTTTAAATAAAAAGGTCTTCGCCTGGCGCCAAAAAACAAATAACGACGGCGCCAGGTGGACCTCTCTGGGGAGCGCATTCCATAGATGGGGCGCCACCGCAGAGAAGGCCCTCCTCCGGGTACTCACCCTCCTAATATCCTTCACGGAGGGTTCCCAGAGAAGGGCCTCTCCCGCTGATCTCAAGGAGCGGTAGGGCACGTATGGACGTAAGCGCTCCTTTAGGTAACCAGGACCCAAGCCATTAAGGGCTTTATAGGTAATAACCAACACCTTGAACTGGGCCCGGACTTCAGTGGGGAGCCAGTGAAGCTGACGGAGGACTGGAGTCATGTGAACATAACGCCCCGTCCCCATCAGCAACCTGGCAGCTCTATTCTGCACCAATTGAAGTATCCGGACCGTCTTCAAGGGTAGCCCCACGTAGAGCGCGTTACAGAAGTCTAATCGGGAAGTTACCAATACGTGTGTCACTGTCGCCAGGCAGTCGTTCTCCAGGAAGGGACTTCATGTTCTTCCTGAGAAGGGACCCTTTTCTTCTTTCATCCAGGGTCACGTGTCTTTTGAGGAGGTCACCGTGTGCTTCATGGAGGAGGAGTGGGCCCTGCTGGATGCCGACCAGAGAGCCCTGCACAGCCAGATCATGGAGGAGAACCGAGGGACCGTGGCCTCTCTCGGTAGGACTTTTCTGCTTTATGGGAATACCAGTTTCCCAAAAGCCATTATGATGGGGAAGATCATATTGACACTTTTTGCACAGATAGCATATTATTTACTCATTTAGTATTTTGAGGAAATATTTCTATTATATTTCCAGTGGCTGAAAATTCCTTTTTATAATAATTGCCGATGGTTTTTTGCAGGTGTGCAAGTGTGTGCTTACAATGTGTGTAGTCCAGCCTGTCTGTTGTGAAGCTGGAGATGGCCTTTCTCAGGAATAAAGTGCCTAGATGCCAATAGAAAATCTTTGAGAAAAGAAAAGGTGGAAAAACCAGCAACAGAGGTGGATCAAACAGAGAAGGAACTGGATCCACACTACAGCGTCCTTTATGTGCCCACCCCCTTTGATTTATTTATTATTTATTGATTACAAGCATTTATATCCTGTCGTTCCACGGAAGAGCTCAGGATGGCTTATGTTATATAAAATTCTAAAACACAGTATTAAAACTACAATTTTTAAAACATTTAAAATCGAACATCTGAACTAAGGAAAAAAGGAAACTAACAAAGAAAGTGCGACTGTGAAACAGTCTTAAAATATCTAAAACCCTTAATTGTTAAAATGATGGTTAAATAAAAAGGCCTTTACCTGGCACTGGAAGGAGTATAATGTCCTTTCGCACCCCTGTTGCTATGCTTTCCTCTTTTCTCATGTTTTTCTGTTGACAGCTGGTGATTTTGCACAATTTAGCCTATATTCACTCTCTTCCTGGCCTCCTTTTGGCAGTGAATCATCATCACTGCACACTTGTGCATCTATGAAAAGACAAATATATATTTTTAAATGCACAGTGTTCAGGACCAAAAATATGACTGCAATTGTGCTTTCACGAGGCTCCCCCCACCCACCACCACACACACACACACAAATGGAGCTATTGGAGAGATTGCCAAAGTGAGCTGGGCCTTTAATGCTGTTGCTGAATGGTACAACACCGTTTTAATTCACGTTACAATTGCCCTGCTGGGTTCAGAGGAGATGACAAGCATTTTTTGTATACTCAGTGTATTTTTTGTATTTTTGTATTTAATGGTAATTTATTATGTTCTATTGTATTTCAATGTATTTTATTGTGTTGTAAGCCGCCCCGAGGCTTCGGCAAGGGGCGGCATAGAAATGTTATTATAATAATATAATATAATAATAATACTGGACTTGGATGACATGACCGCCTGCCATGTCCCGGCACCCACGGTCGGTTGTCATGCTGTGTGAGCCAGGGTGAAAACACCCACCGTACACTCTCCTCAGCCAGGTGCAGAGAGGGGAAAGAGGCCTGCCCCTCACTCTGAGACCAGCACAACTCCAGAGCTCGCTGCCCTCCAAAAAACAGCTTGACTGCTGCTGCTATGGGCCAGGAGACCGACGTGGCTTCAGCGGTGTGAATACAGGATGGTGCTGCTCCAGATGGGACAGGTGGAAGCGCTCTAGGGAAGTCCACACAGTGTGGGTCCATGAACGCATTTGTTTTGGTCCAGTTTCCTGAAAAGCTTCAGAGGCAGAAAGGGTATTAGAAAGGCATAAAGGAGATGCCCAAATGGTGAACGGAGCTGGGAACAACTGGGTGCTGTCAGTGTCTTCCTAGGGTCGGTCGGTCGGTCGGTCTGTCTGTCTATAAAATTTGTATGCCGTCCAATATTTGCGTCTCTGGACGGCTTACAACGTAAATCAGAATAAAACAGATAAATTGACTATTCCAGGCTGGCTGTAATTAATAACATACAAACAATAAAATCCAATTACTATTAATACATGTTAAAATATTGATCAAATAAAAAGGTCTTGACCTGGCGCCAAAAAGCATATAGTGACGGCGCCAGGCGGACCTCTCTAGGGAGCGCATTCCATAGTCAGGGCACCACCGCAGAGATGGCCCTCCTCCGGGTACTCTGTCTCCTAACGTCTTTCACAGAGGGTTCCCGGAGGACTTCTGTTGCTGATCTCAGGGGGCGGGAGGGCAAATAAATCTATCTATTTAATAGATTTCTATTGCACCCAGTAACCAAAGCTTCTGCGTGGTTCACTACAATTTGAAAATTTAAAATGCAAAACATCAAATACACTATAAAATTTTAAAAGTTCTAGCCTTTTTCTTTTTTATAGTCTACTTTTTAACTGGAAATAACAATAAAATGTATAAAAATGAATTGGAATGAGTTTTATAAGTGTTAATTTAGTACTAATTAATTTAACTGAGTGTAGAAAACAATTACTTTTTGTGAAATTTTCTGATCTTGATATTATATGTAATATTTGTGTAAGATCCCTTGGTATCCTTTTTCTTATTTATTTATTTAAAACATTTGTATGCCACTCAATTGTGCCATAGCACATTATATTCTACTTTTAAATGAAAATATTAAAATATATAAAAATTAAAAGTTTAAAACTACACTTTATAATAGAAGTAAAATGTAAAATATTTTAAATGTATTTAAATGATTTAAAACAACAGAGATTAAAAGACTAACATTCCTGGGAGAATTAGGTCATTTTGTTGGAAAGAGTACGGTATAGGTGCCCTTTTTAACCCCTTTAGCCACTTGAGTTGCCGCTTCCATTAGCATCTAATTACTTTTTTCCATTTTTCTTTAAAGAGGGTATTTTAACTTGATATTCCTGGATCTACATTATTTCCATCTGATTCCCTTTATATAAACCTTTAAAATAATTTTAGAATATTTCTTCAAATTATTTTTGATCATATGTTTTAATTCTGGTTTTTTGGGGGGCGGTTATAAGAATCTATACTTGAGTCTCCTTTTCTGTAGAATATTTGCTAATACATTCAAACTTTTACCTGTGAAATATCTTTGTTTAACATACAAGTATCTACCATTTTAATTATTCTAAAAACCTCTTTCTTTCCAAAAATTTTTCTAACTCCTTTCTAATGTTAATCAGTCCTGTGATTTCTGTTAGATAAAACTTCATAATTTAAACTAATCTCTTCAGTTAGTCTTTGGGAAGAACTGATTTGTAGCCTATAAACGGATATTCATTATGCATTTTCTCTAGCAAGCTTTTCTGTTTATCTTCTGATGTAACCCATTTGAAGATATCTTCCAATATTTCCTTCCAGGCAGTCATTAAATCTTGTTTGAGTAAAGCTAATTGCTCTGTCAGTACTTCTGTTTTTCTAGCTCTGCCTTTCGGTTCTTCAATAGATGGAGCTCCAGGTTTTAGTCAGTCTCTGTTCTGCCATCTTTCCATTTCTCTGCGCTTTACAGAAGAGTTCACAGAAGAGTCTGTAAAATGCTTTACAGAAGAGTTTTATTCTCCGTTCTCCCAGGTAAACTTATTTATGGCTGCTGGGAAACTTTGTTTTCTTTTCAAAGGATCCCTGTCTTTCAGCTTAATTTTTAAGCCTTTCCCACCCTTGGCATTCAGTATATTAGAAGGAATTCCTGCCCATTCTTTCAGTTCTTTGACAGCCAATGTGGTGCCATAAGAGGTTCAATTTCTGCTTATAGTTTGCAGCATTTTCTTTTACAACTTGTTACTTCCCTCTTAGCAACTTCTTAATATTTTCCTTTCTTGACTTTGCTGTCCTGCTATATTTAAAACAAAAACAAAAACTTTCCCCCCCTCAAAAATCCCTTATTCTCCAAAACTCCTTTTAATGCTTAATTTTTGAAGTCCTGAGATCAGATGGAAGGCATCTTTTGGAGGGGGTGTCCACTGTGGGAAGAAACCCCCACCAACTGATGGACACTCCCTCTGCCTTTTCTGTCTAGGAGAGGGACACAACAGTGACTCCTGCCCTCAGTGCCAGGCCTGAAGAAACACAGACGACCACCCGAGCGCGGAGCTGCAGAGTAAGGGGCTACAAACAATAGACTCCTCCACCTGCTTCAGTCAAGGCTCTGATCATGGGCCAGACCATGCCACCGACACCTGGATGCTCTTCAAAGGTGTCCAGGGCCAAGAAGTGGAGCAAGAGGGCCGAAGTGGTGGAAGCTGCTGAGTCGAAGGTGTAGCTCCATAAGCCAAGTCAGGGACCCCCATCAATACCAACCACACTTGCCTCTGACCCTGCGGTACCAAGACAGGAACAGTTTTGGCAATTTTGGCATCGGAAGGAAAGATCTGGGGTGCATTTCCTCGGCTGCAGGCCTGCCCTTCTTCTGCAGCCTTGGGGCTGCACCAGTCAGGTGCCCTCTCACCAGTTCCAGTGGAATCAGCCCGCATCAGAATCAAATGCCACTGCAACCCTTTTCATCCTCCTCTTTTGGACACGGAAAGGGGCTTGGAATGGCCGGTCCCACCATCTCACTGATAAGACTCCAACCCTTGGCGTACTCTTGGGTTCAAGATGCCTTCTATGATCCTCAGGACTGACAAGAGCTCTATCCCAAGCACAACTCTTTTGGTTTTATTAGATTTACATTCTATTGTATGTTGCCACTTTGCTTTGTATCGCCGGTCGGAGACTCTTGTAAAGGAAGGGATAAAAATGCTTCAGATAACAAACAAACAAATCCCTCGAGGGTAGGAGCACTTCATGGAGACCCAGCATTTTGGAGGCTTCCGCCACCACTGCCCAGAACACCACCATCAACGCCTTGGCCTGTGACCCTTCAGAAACCACTAGTGGACCATGCCGCTGCCACCACGTCAATGATCATCCCCTCTGCAGGCCAGGAGCAGCATCTCCACCTTCTGTTCCAGAAGGTCACCCACTGGGAATGGTCTCCTCATCGCCAGTGGCTCTCTCATCCCGCGTCTGCTGTGGGCACTGAGAATTCCGCGTCTCCATCAGAAGACTTGGACAGTTCCTCAGATCTAGCTCTCTGAATGGCCCAGTCTCTGGCCTTATGCACACCCTTGTGCCTGACAGAGGACGAGGGATGCAGCATGTGATGTCCTGGAAGCACTGAGCCCCGTTGCTCTACCATTTCTGCCAAAGTTCCTGCAGACGGTATGGCAGCCGTGGAAAACCCCATCCTCCATAGCTCCAACTCCCCAAAAACTCGAGTGTATGTACGGAGTGCAGGAAAAAGACTTCCTTGCAACCTCTATGACTGAACTTGATCATTGTTGGGACTGCCTGGGGAAGGCCACACCGGAAACACCCTGTGCCAGTTGAGTCTGCCCAGGGAAAGCTGCTACTTAGACCTGATAGGGAGGTGCAGTCACTCGTTTTCTGCTTTGGGACCGAGGACAGCACAGCGAATTGCCAGGCTATTACGGCTTGGTACCAGCTCTTCCTTTGGGACAAAATCCGCTCCCTCTGCAATCACCTGCTGCGGGAATAAACAGAACTGGCTAGAGTCATCCAAGAGGAAGGATTGTGCCTCTTCTGCCAGCAGATATAAATGGCCAGGCGCCAAACTGGCTGTGGAGCCAGAGCAGTGGTGGGAGCAGCGGTACTGGGGAGGTATGCATGGCTGTGCTCTGCCTGCCTATCTCAAGAGGCCCGTTCCCACATCCGGGACCTGCCTTTTTATGGGGAGGGGCCCTTTAAGGCAAAGACCGATGAGTGGCTGGATTCTGCCCAGAAAGCCCAGAGGGTGCCCAACAGACAGGACTCAACCAGCAGATGGCCCCATAAGTGGCATCGATTCAGGCACCCCCCTCTCCACCTTGGGCACGGACGAACCCCTCGTCTCAAGCACCACCTGCAACCCACTCTAGACAAGGGAACGCTACTCCAAGGTGCCGACAAGGGCCCAGCCCCTCAGACACCAACAGGTGCTCGTTCTGACTTATTTTTGGGCTGATGGGCTTCCCATACTCTGGTGCTTGACTGACACCTCTCTTTAATCCCTCCTCACATGGGAAACAATCACATTGGATGCCTGGGTCCTATTAGGCAACGGAAATACAGGACACCCTTCCACCACTCAGTAGTACAGGGAACATGGTTCCAGACTCCCCACTCTTGAGGGTGCTGTCGAATGGGCCCCTCCAATTAGCTTCCACGCGATACTTTACGGCACTGAAGCAGGATGGAGGGCTCGGACCAATCCCGGCTCTTAGACTGGTCAGAGCCCTCCATCCCTGGTGGCATGAGGTAATTGATTCACCTCCACTGAATTAAAGGATGCACACTTCCATCTTTTCATGAACACACAGGTGTTTCCAGCGCTTCAGGTCAAAAGGGAGGCTTCTGGGTTTTCTGTTTGCCGTCTGGACTGTCCACAGCCCAAAGGGTCTTCTCAAAACGCATGGCAGTAGTTTGTGCCCACTTATACCTGCAAGGAATTCAGGCTTACTCCTACTTGGGATGACTGGCACTGTTGAAGCAAGACTCACTTTATCCCATCAAAGCTACCTGCACTCTATTAGCTGAGCTGGGGCTTTCTGTACACTTATAAAAATAATCTCTGTCAAATTTTTCAATGAGTTTCTCAGGTAAAACATTGCAGTCAAAGAGAGGCCAAGAGAGGTGCAGCAATTCTCGAGAGAAAGTAAAGGCCACAATTGCTCCTCCTTTCTCCAGGCTGCTGCCCTCTGCACTGATCCTGAGCCACCCTCTTGAATCCTTCCTGAAAGACTAAGCTATTCCTGACTCAGCACCTGAACAGGGAATCTACTTATTCTTTGGAGCTGAATCCAGAGCTGGCATTGCTTGATCGATCGGTCAGGAGTTTGCTCATGCCAAGGCTTTCAGAGTAGGTGCACTTTGGCTAAGCTTGGTAATGGCAGAGCTGAGCTTACAGAAGTGGGCGGTGGGACTACCCAATAAGATGACTTTGCCGTTACTTCTCCTTCCTTGGATCAGACAGGGATTTCTTGAAAGACCCAGGCCCATGGTTGTCAAATTTCATGAGAAATGTACAGTACCTGTTCTACCAATAAGCAGCCTGATAAAAGTCTGTCACATAGGCTAGGTTGAGAGAGAAGCTGGGCCATAAAACACAATAAACTTAATTTCTCAGCTGGAGACTGAGCCAGGTCTCTGGGGGCTTAAATGAATGCATTGCACCACACCAACCGTCAGCTAGTGGCAATCAACAGAAACAGTTAATCACATGGTAGGAACCATATTCCCACACTGGAGACATTCAAAAAGAACCTGGGCAGCCATCTGAGAGGGATGGTGTAACGTGGTGTCCTGCAACAGCAGAGGGCTGGACTCTATGGACTTCATGGCCCCTTCCAACTCTTCTATGATTTTATAATATGATTCTAAATATTTTCACTTCTTCCTTTGCTGAAATCATTATTCAAAACAATTCAGGTATATGAAACTGTCTTCCTAGCTAACTGTCTTTTACTGATGCCTTGTCTTCCTTTTAGAAAATGACTGGTGGGCAGTGGAGAATAAGAAAAAACTATGTGGGATTTCACCGAAAAGAGATGCATGCAGAAACATCAAAGAGCAGAAAAGGAAAATTAAACTAAATCACCATAGGAGCAATAATTCCTTTGCTTGTCAGGGCAATAATTACAATGATAGCACAATCCAAGAAGAAATATATGAGAGACTGGAAAAGGCTCAGTGCCACAAACCTAAGAAAACTTTCACTCCTGACCCAAATGATAAAAGTCATTCCAAAAGACATGCATTGAAGCAGCATTCATGCAAGGAGTGTGGAAAAAGCTTCAGTCAGAAGAAATACCTAACTTGTCATCAGAGAACCCACACAGGGGAGAAACCATATCACTGTGTGAAGTGTGGAAAAAACTTTAGCCACAAGAAAACACTCATGTATCATCAAGGAGTTCACACGGGAGAGAAGCCATTTCATTGTTCAGAGTGTGGAAAGAGCTTCAGGTTGAAGAAACTTCTAATTTGTCATCAAAGAACCCACACCAGGGAGAAACCCTTTTATTGTCTGGAGTGTGGAAAGAGCTTCAGTTGGAAAGGAACTCTCACTCAGCATCAAAGAACTCACACAGGAGAGCAACCCTTTCATTGTCTGGAGTGTGGAAAGAGCTTCAGTCGGAAAGGAACTCTCACTCAGCATCAAAGAACTCACACAGGAGAGCAACCCTTTCATTGTCTGGAGTGTGGAAAGAGCTTCAGTCAGAAGACCACACTCAGCCAGCATCAAAGAACTCACACTGGAGAAAAACCATATCAGTGCTTGGAGTGTGGAAAGAACTTCAGTCGGAAGAAGTATCTCAGTTCTCATCAAAGAACTCACACTGGGGAGAAACCATATCAGTGCTTGGAGTGTGGAAAAAGCTTCAGCCATGAGATAACTCTCATTCGTCATGAAAGATCACACAAAGGGGAGAAGCCATTTCATTGCTTACAGTGTGGAAAGAGCTTCAGTCAGAATAGTTACCGTTGTTCTCATCAAAGAACTCACACAGAGGGGAAACCTTATACATGCAAGGAGTGTGGAAAGTCCTTCATTCAGAAGATACATCTAACATATCATCAAAGAACTCACACCAGGGAGAAACCATTTAATTGAAGAAAAAACTTTAGTCAGAACGGAACTCTGATTGAGCATCAAAGAACTCACACAGGAGAGCAACCACTGCACTGTCATTTTATTCACATTTTGTAAACCATTCTACATTTTGTAAACTATTTTGAGATCGATATGCTAATCAAACCATATAGAAATCCTCTAAATAAATAAATTGCCTGGCGTGTGGAAAGAACTTTAGTCGGAAACCCATCCTCACCCAGCATCAAAATATAGAAGACCTTGGAGCAAGGAACGAGCTTCAATCATGAGATCGTTCACTTCTCAGCAAATAAATAACCTCCTGTATAATTTCTCAATTTGCTTTGAATGTGGGAAAAGTTTATCTGATCTTGCTTCTAATCTTTACTCAGTGATGTACCAGAGATGTGCTTAGATTACAGGATGAAGTTCATCTGGGATCAATTTTTATTTCAGATGAGATGACTCTCTTAGGCTACGTGCCAGCTAAGTAGTCGGTTGATGTGCTAAAACTCACCCCCCTCAAAAAAAGTAGAGATTCTCCCTCTTACAAAAAAGGATGAGGAAAATCGTGGCCTAGAACAATTTCTAATAAATGGGGCCAGATGGATTTTCTTCGTTTTATCCATTTCAGCTTCCTTTTATAGATGCTTATTTTTGTAAAAGGGTTAAGAAGAAAGTATACGTTTCTTAAGTGGATAAGTGAAACCAAGGAAATGCTTCATGAAAGGTGAAAGCAATTCCTCCTTTTGCTGAAAGAAGCAGAAAAATGCTTCTATCATTATATACCTCAACATTTTATTGCTAATAAAATGATATTTCTTGATCTAATATCATGACCCTTCACTGTAGAGATTTACTTGATAAAACTTACAATTCATTTCAAATCACCAAGATAAAAAACCGCAGAACAGCAAATTCAAAAGTGTTCGCAACTGACCCATTTTGGAAAGGCAGATTGCATCTTTTTGTCAAGGTTTACCAAAAACTGTGGCTGTTTTTTATTGTTCCTGATTGAGGAATGGTGCCTTTCTATGCTTTAGTGATGTTCTAAGCCACTGGGGGAGAAATGAGAAAGGCATTCTTACTACATCAAAGCCTATGGCAGCCACTGCTGCCAAACTTCTTCCATCCGGTTTTGGTATCACCCCACAGCCATAACTCTGCAGCTCCTTGCTCATTTCAGAATAATTCTCTGTTGCAGCTGTAATTCACTGGGTTGAAAAATGGCATTTCCTTTAGGATAACATTAAAATGTATCGTTTAATTAATTTCTATACTGCCCATTAGTCAACATTAGTATTAAAATTCTGGTAATGTTAAAACTGGTAACAAATTAGCAGGTAGGGAATACCACCCGGCAGACTGGGAGCGAAGAGAACGGCCTTGAGCAACCACAACCAGAAACTACCGTTGGGGGTATGGTTTCTCCGTACCACAATTGCTGGCTGTTTTGTCCAAACCAGAAAATGGAGCCCGTCATGGCACTGAGACCAGAACCGCGGCGGTGGCCGGCCAGCGAGCGCCACTGAGAGCCGCCCCGGTGCAGGAGCAGCCGGTGGGCAATGGCGAGGCCTAGTGGGGGCTGCACACCATGGCAGATCCCCCAGCCGCCCCCCTTTCCCACTCCGGCTGGCCAGAGAGGCTGCCCCAACCTGTGAGAGGGAGCAGCCATGTTCCTCCCTGCAGGACCTCCTGGAATACCACCTGGTGGACCGAGAGCAAAGAGAACGGCAGCGGGGAGGGCAGCTCCCGCGAGGAGCATCTCGGTGTGCCAGACACGTCCACACACAACACCTGCACAGGATTGCTTGCAACGTGGGGACCCGGGCAGTGGCGGAGCCTGCCTTGCTTCCAGAGCCAGGCGTCCCGCAGCAGGAGGGCTGCCACCCTTGCGGCTCTCCTTGAAGAGGACCCCAGTCCGGCCAGCAGCTTTATGTGGCACCAACAGGAAGAAATTATTGAGAATTTAGAGAATTTAGAGAATTTAGAGAATTTATTGAGAATTTAGAGAATGTTAGAGAAATACAACAGTGCAACCAAAGATCTGGGTTTCGTTGGGGTTTTGTTCTTCGTAAGCCGTCCAGAGACTTTTAGTAATGGGACAGCATAGAAAAACTACAAACAAATAGGGAGGTTGCGGGCTCTCCCACCTTAGAGCCATGCAAGATGCAGATGGACAGCCTTCGTAGAGGAAGGGCGTGACTTGGTGCCCAGCACTAGGCGGGAGGTGCACCAGATGGCATCCCCACCCATTCAAGCTCTGCTATTCGAAGGTCTAGGCCAGGGGTCGGCAACCTGCGGCTCCGGAGGCGCACATGGCTCTTGAACCCCTCTGCTGCGGCTCCGTTGCTCAAAACACGTGCCGGCACAGCCGCCCATCTGCTCGAAGCTCCGCTCAGGAACGCAGTGCTAAGCTAGTTAAGTAAATCAGCTAGTTAAGTAAATTGCTACATTCCTCTGCTAAACAAGCTTCCTGCAGGCTCTCATGTTACACAAAATGCTGCTGAAAGGATTCTCTTTGTCCCAGTGTAATCTCCTTCCTCTGAATGTTAAAAGCTGCACTTGGGACCTGTCACAATTCACAGCGCTTGACTGTTTATCTGTGAATCAGTCACTAAACACACCTATATCTCCAGCACAGCCACCGATCTGCAGACCTCTGCAGACCCGACCTGCTTCGATTTACTGAGCTCCACCCCCCCCGCCCCCGCCCGGCCCCACTGTAGGCCAACCATGGATAAATTGAAGAAAAGTTTCTGAAGAAAACCAAACGTTTAATGATGCGTGGGTAGATTCATTTACTTTTACTGCTGACGAACGTCTGGGGTTTGCTGTTTAATGCATGCAGCCCTTTAGCACTGACTTTGACTCTGCAGAAAGCTGTTCTCCTATTCAAAATATATGAAAGGAGTCCTACTAGTTTATAATGTAAGATTAAAAATAACAGTTATTAGTGACTGAACAAGAGCTGCAGCTAAATCAGAATGAAGATATACATAGCATTCAGGTAAAAAACGATATATTCAGTGTTATCTTCATTTTAGATGTCAAAAGGGTTTTGCGGCTCCCGGTATTTTCTTTTGCGTGGGAAACGGGTCCAAATGGCTCTCTGAGTGCTAAAGGTTGCCGACCCCTGGACTAGGATCATGGGAAGGAGGAGGCAGCCAGGGGACCCAAAGAACGGGAACTGTGGGAAGGAGTTGAGGTGCATGTACACCAATGCCAGGAGCATGGGTAATCAGCAGGAAGAGCTTGAGGCTTTCCTGGGAATAGGAGGGCATAACCTGATGGGGATCACAGAAACTTGGTGGGATGAAAGGCAAGACTGGAATGTAGACAAAGGGGCATCACCTCTTTAGAAAGGACACGAAGAGAAAGAGGGGAGGGGGCATAACATTATATGTGGTGCAGTGGTTAAGAGTGTGGGACTGGGACTCAGGCGATCTGCGTTCTAGTCCCTGCTCAGCCATGGAGCCAACTGGGTGGCTTTGGGCCAGTCACAGACTCTCAGCCCAACCTACCTCACAGGGTTGTTGTTGTGGGGATAAGATGGAGGAGGAGAGATGATGTAAGCTGCCTTGAGCCCTTTGTAGGAAAAAGGCAGGATATAAATCGAAAAATAAATAAATAAATAAAATGTGTCAAGGAAGGGATAGGATGCAGTGAGATAGAATGCAGCACAGATGGGGATTTGGCAGAGGCAGTCTGGGTGAAACTTAGGGGTTTTGACAGGGAAAGAGACCTGACAGTGGGGGTATGTTATCGCCCTCCAGGTCAATTTGAGACCCTAGATGATGTCCTGACAGGTCAGATTCTAAGGATATCTCGCGGGAGAGACACAGTAATTATGGGAGATTTCAATCTCCCAGATACTAGTTGGGAGACTCACCCAGTGGTGACAGCCAGGTCAGGTCACATTACTTCCTAGATGGTACAGAGGGAGGGTTTTTCATGCAGAGAGTTCGAGAGGCGATGAGTGGGGGGGAACATCCTTGACTTGGTCTTGACCAACAGGGAGAAACTGATAGATGGGGTACAGATTAGGGAAGCTCTGGATGCGAGTGATCACTCCATCCTTTGCTTTGAGATCAGGGGAATGGGGACGTGCAGCAGGTCGAGCACTAGAAGCTGGGACTTCAAGAGGGCCAACTTTGGCCAACTGAAGGCCAGACTGGGGAAAGTCTCCTGGGATAGGTTACTGGAAGGCAAGGGAGTTGAGCAGGGGTGGATGGCACTCAAAAGGGAGGTTTTGGAGGCGCAAGCCTTGATGATACCTCTAGTCAGTAAGGCGGGGAGGCGAAGGAGAGTGCCGCCATGGATGCGAAAAGAGGTGGTTAGAGGGATTCGATGCAAGAGGAACCTCTGTAGGAAACGAGCACTGGGGCAAGTAGGCAAAAGGGTATACCGAGGGGAAGAGGCCCATTGCAGGAGGATTCTTCACAAGGCTAAGGCAGATTACGAGCTGAGACTGGGCATGTTGAGCCTCATGAAGAAAAAACTGAGGGGAGATATGACAGCACCCTCAAATACTTGAATGGCCACCACAAGCACAAAAGCCAGGATCTCTTTTTGATCATCCCAGAGTGCAGGACACAGAACAATGGACTCAAGTAACAGGGCCCTGGCAAGTTGTCCAAATGCCACTATTGGCAGCCCAGCGCAACTAGTGCCACCACCTGAAAATTGTCTTGTAACTGCTTTCTGGCTTTGTAGTATTGGCCCTGGCATCCTTTGTGCCTGTGGAGATTCTGGAAGCTGGATGTAGTTCCAGAGTTTCATGAATTTCAATACTTTGCTTGGGTAAGGTTGAAGTTTTGGATTCTGAAAAAGGCTGGATGCACATTTTTACCCTTAACAAGCTTGGGGCAGGAACAAAATCAGCCCGAGGATCTTTTAGTTTCTTTGTGGTTCAGAGCCCACTGAATCTTGCTTGGCCATCTTGCGTCTGTGTTCCAAAACACCTCCAACACTGCCTAAGGAACAGTTCCTCCTCCTTATCTGGGCAAATATTGCTGCATCAGATTGTCCTACTAAGGATCTGTGAAAGAACATTATGTTCAATCATGATTAAACTTACAGACCAAGATAACATCTGAAAATTATTGCAGCAAGCACAGCTTGCCCCAGCTGACCAAGCCTCACAGGAAAACTAGAGGTTTAGGGAGATCCTGAACATGTAAGACCTCTAGATCTTCCCCCTTCCCATTCCCAAATCCACGGGGGCACCCGGACTGCCGAGAGCGGGAGAGGGGGGAGCTCCCTGATTACAGGGCGGGGCAGAGGCCCCAAGCGGGTCAGGCGCACAGCTCCCCTCGCTGTCGGGGAAGGCGCCGCTCGCCCCCAGGCGGAGAAATGGCCACCCCGGACGGCGGCGGCTGGATCTGACCCCCCCCCCCAGCAGCTCAGGGACGCCCCCCCGGCCCAGCGCACCAGGCGGGATGGGGGCCTTACCTGGCCCCGCAGAGGAGCCCCACGCGGCACCTGCAGGAGGACCCCCGGAAGGAGGCTCGCGGGAAGAGGCGGGGGCGAGGAGCGTTTCCGGTGGAGCGCTGCCCCCCCCTGCCTCCGCTCTAGGAACCTCGCCGCTCCGTCTCCTTAACCCCGTAGACGCCAAGCCGCAGGGCCCTTTCTCTGCATCTCCCCCGGGAGGGCGCGGAAACATCCCGCGCTGCCCTGAGGCAGGAGGAGGCAGGCAACCGAGGGACGCTGCAGCTCCTGCCCGCTTCTTCAGTGCACAAACCTCACGCAACTGGATCTCATGCATTCACTTCCCTCCTTCCGAGAGGCAGGCTCACCCGGCTCTCCCAGGATACTACTGCAGAACTGAAGAAATTGCGGATGGTGACAAATGAATTATTTTGATGCAGAAACCTTTTTCCCCGTATTCTTCCTGTTTTTCTTTGCAATTCCTCAAAGCAGTTCAGGACTTGAGAGTATGGGAATGAATGTCTGCATGGTTTTACATTTCTATTAATGAAATGATGAAATAATAATTAAGCTGTGATATGACAAGCCATCTTCTGTGCACCAGCAGGATAAGCCATGCTATTAAAGCACATTAATAAACGACTCTGTTGGTATTTCTTTACACAACACATTGCCTATAGAACACATTTCCCCCATGGAAACAAAGTCAATACAACACCCCAGGAGAAATTATTTCCACAGTCAATGCTCAAACAAGGGGGGCATGTAACCCACCCCCCCAGGAATTGTGGTCCGGAAGGTGGGCCCCTTGCAGTACAGGCCTCCCCCACTAGGTGAGTGTTCTAGGCACCCACCGGCCTCAGTGCGCTCAGCTGGGTTGTGAGGCTGCGTTCGGCTTCAGTGAGGGTTTTCTGGAGACTCTCAATGCATTTGGCTATCCCGTGATGGCCGTTTTACACGAACAATTTGTGGCAGTGGAATGTTGTTCAGCCGAGTGTTCAGTAGGTTTTGACCAAAAAGGCCCCGACTCTTGCGCCCCACCCTCTCTGTGAAGCTGGACTGTTTCCCCGGAGGAAGAAAGTTTTTACAGGGAAACGTTCTGCCTATGTGGAAGAGGTGAAACAAAGAACAGCAGAAGCGCTAAAGGGCATCCAAATCAATGAGTTCAACAACTCATTTTTGAATGAGCAGTGGAAAAAACATCTCAATACGTGTATTGCATCAAACGAAGAGTGCTTTGAAGGTGATGGAATTTTGCACATGCAAAAATAAATACACAATTTTAATAAATAAATTCCTACTTTTTGGGCCCCCCCTCGTATATTATTTCACCTATGTGAGTTTCTTTATATACAATGAAGTTTCTCCTCACTGAAACTCATTCCACATGCAAAACAATATGTCTTCTCCCACGTGTGTTCTTTGATGAGAAGTGAGATATGTCTTTCGACCAAAGCTCTTTCCACACACCAAACAATTATATGGTTTCTCCCCACTGTGAGTACTTTGATGAGAAGTGAGATGTGTTTTCCGACTGAAACTCTTCCCACACTCAAAACATTCATATGGTTTCTCCCCTGTGTGGATTCTTTGATGAGAAGTAAGAGTTGATTTATGCCGGAAGCTCTTTCCACATTCGAAACATGTATACGTTTTCTCCCCTGTGTGGGTTCTTTGATGGTGTGTGAGAATTATTTTCCGACTGAAGCTTTTTCCACACTCCAAACATGTATATGGTTTGTACCCTCTGTGCGTACTTTGATGATAAGTGAGAGTTATCTTCTGACGGAAGCTCTTTCCACACTCAAAACATTTATATGGTTTCTCCCGTGTGTGGATTCTCTGATGAGAAGTCAGAGTTTTCTTATGCCTGAAGCTCTTCCCACACTCCAAACATTTGTATGGTTTTTCTCCTGTGTGAATATGTTGATGAGAAGTGAGAGTTTTCTTATGCCTGAAGCTCTTTCCACACTCCATGCACTTAAATGGTTTCTCCCCAGTGTGAATATGTTGATGAGAAGTGAGATTTGTCTTCTGACTGAAACTCTTTCCACATTCTAAACAACAGTGTGTTTTTTCTGCAGTGTGAGTTTTTTTATGAAAAGTTAAACTTATCTTATGAAAAAAGTTCTTTTCACACTCAAGATAGTTATATATTTTCTGCCCTGTGTGAATTCTTTGATGGCGAGTCAGGGTTCTTTTCCTACTGAAGCTCTTCCCACACTCCAAGCATTTATATGGTTTGTCCCCTGTGTGAATTCTTTGATGTTCAATGAGACTTTTCTTCTGTCTGAAACTTTTTCCACACTCCAAACAAGTATATGGTTTTTCTCCCGTGTGAGTTCTTTGATGACAAGTAAGATTTGTCTTATGACTGAAGCTTTTTCCACATTCCAAACATGCATATGGTTTCTCCCCTGTGTGCGTTCTTTGATGAGAAGTGAGATGTGTGTTCCGACTGAAGCTCTTTCCACATTCCAGGCATTTATATGGTTTCTTCAATGTATGAATTTTGGCATGAGCTTTATTTTTTGATTCAGAATTCAATATTTTCCTGATGAGTTGGAACTCCTCATTTGGCTGCCTTGTCTGTATTTCTTCTAGAATTGCAAGATCATGGTAGCCATTGTCCTCAAAGGAATGATTTCTCCTACTGCAATTAACTTTCGTTTTCCTTCTCTGCTCTATGCTTTCTTTACATTTCCCTCTTTTTCGTGACATTCCACATGGTTCTCTTCTCTTTTCCTCTTCCCATCTGCCTTCTTCTGAAAGGAAAACAAGAGATTGGTAAAAGCCTGAATTACTAGGAGGCTTTCATTAGTCTAATAGTAGACAATAATGTAGGGATGCGGTGGCGCAGTGGGTTAAACTGCTGAGCCACTGGGCTGGTTGATCGAAAGGGCAACAGTCCAAATCCCCAGATGGGCTGAGCTCCCGTACTCTGTCCCAGCTCCTGCCCACTTTGCAGCTCTAAAGCATGCAAATGCAAGTAGATAAAAAGGTACCACTTCAGTAACAGGTGTTTAGTCATGCCAGCCACATGACCACGGAAAATGTCTGTGGACAAACGCTGGCTCCCTCGTCTAGGAAATGGAGATGAGCACCACCCGCAAGAGTGAGACATGATTGAACTTTAATGTCATGGGGAAACCTTTACCTTTACATTTAGACAAGAATTAATCGAATTAACTTCGGTTTAAGTATTTTGAGAAAAGAACTGAAAAGATTTACAACATGGTATGCAAAACTTACCATGCATTTAGGTGCCTCTGTTGACTGGCATTCAGTGTGTTAATTTGTATTGTACTGAGGCCAGGCAGAACTGAGTTAAACTTTCAGCTGAAAGCACAATCTATCTACTTTCTCTCAGCCTGCTCTCAGGTTTCATTGCAGGCTGCTTGTCTGGAAGACTGCTACTGCAGACTTGAATGAAATTCAGGTTATCTATGAGTCCTGTCAATTGCATAGACAATCATGCAGCATCGCCAAGTGGTTAAAAAATGCCCATATTCAGATAGCGTTTGAATGGGCAAAGTCAGATCCAAGTACAGAACCAGATGCCAGTCCTCCAGTGATCTCCCTGGAACAAATCAACCACCAGCTCAGGTGGACCCCTCATTTCCCTGGGTCCATGCTATGGACACCACCTTGGTCTCCCAGCAGATTTACAGTTGGTTTCCAGAGTCTGGGGAACCCTGTGGGTTCTGTGGAGTTCAGGCAAAGAGCAGCAGAACTCAGGGACTGCAATTTGAAGAAACGGCACCGAGAGAGAACCTCTTGGCTTGAGTTCTGTGAAATAAGAGCGTTTTGGGGTGCTTGCTAAGCCACCCCTCTGCGAGGTCAGGGGGTGTTTTGGTGCAGTTCTGAATGTGTCCTAACAATTTGAGGACCAGATGCTATTCATTTTTTTCAATTATGTTGTGCCTTTCATATTTTGTTCTGAATTCTCACCAGTAGAAGCTCCTGTGTAGTTTGTAGTTTCACGGCAAGGCAGGACTATCAATGTTTTGGTAAATAAGAATAGAAAAATCCTGATACACTGGAAGAAGAGAACTGGAGGTACTGAAATATGCAACCAAACTCCACATGCCGGTGCTTGTTCTCAATTTTTTTTCCCTAATCAAAGCTTTGCTCTTAGCATTTTTTTAGAATCTGAGTCGTTGTAAAGCATCTTATACAAAAGTTTATGATACATTTGAGGCCCCTGTCTTTAAACCACTATATTAGAAGATTGTTTAATAACTTGGTGGCTTTAATATATTTATATATAGCATTTTCTTGTTTCATCTTATGAGAACTGTGTCTTAAAAGGCAGCCTCAAATCAAAAATTAATATAGCTGTGTCCCAAATTGGAATAGTATCTCTCTAACTTGGAACTACAGTATCATAAATCCAGGAGGGAGACTTACTGAGAGAAGCCACGATCCCAAGGTTCCCCTCCATGATGTGCCGGTGCAGGGCTCTCTGGCCAGCATCCAGCAGGGCCCACTCCTCCGGCGTGAAGCACACGGCGACCTCCTCGAAAGTCACAGGTCCCTGGGTGAAACACAGAATGTTCTCTCGTCGGCCATGATGGGGCGAGGTGGCTCCCATCGCACTGCAGGGCTGGAGCGCCTTGCTGGGCAAACCCGTTGCAGCAAAGCCTGAGAGCAAAAAAGGGCTCCAGCTCTCCTGTGTAGTGTGTGGGATTCCCAAGGGGCCTGGTTGCCCCTGAGAGAAACAGAGAGCTGGGAGACGGGACCCGGCCCCGCAGGGCTCAGCTTAAGATCTCAGCTTTGCCAGAAGGAAACCGGAGGAGAGACCTGCAGTTTGGCCCTAGAGAGTGAGCAGGGACGACGGTTCCCCAGCTGCTCCCTGCCTGTCCCCACAGGGATCTTCCCCCCTACCTGATCCGGTTCCACGCCATCAGGAAGAGGCAGAGACGGCGGAGCAGCTGCTGCAAGCGTCAGTCCAGCCCCTGTGAGAGACAAAGGCGATGGGAAGCTGGGAGCACATGCCTGTCTCAGAGGCGGAGGGCGACATCCCAAACTGCTCAAAAGGAAGCCCCTAGGAGTACAGCGGCTCCCATGTTCCCATCAAAAGCACAGAACTGCACTGCATCGGATGCAAGACTCGTATACTTGGAGGCCACAATATTTCTCTCTAATATGCAACTTGATAGTTCCATAGCATAGAATTGCTCCTCTTTCCTCTTAAGGAACAAAGTGTTCAGCTACCAAAAAAAAAAAAAAAAAAAAAGGCTGGAGACAAGCATCTCTGCTAACACCGAACTCGGGGACAAGGTAAAATAGCCCAAGGATCTGTCGCATATCGACACCCCACATTAATGCTTACCCTCCAAGGTGGCCTGCCCACGACCTCGCTGGCTGAGAACCCTTTGTGGGGGCCTCTGCCAGGTATCCGACTGGGCTTTCTCTCCTGCAGGGAACTCCGGGATCACTTCCGCAAGCAGGCGGTTTTCCTGGAAGAGCAGCAAAGATCCAGGCCATGAAACAAATTGAAGAATTAGAGAAGAAAGAGAGAGGGGAAATATTGGAGGCAAGGTATGGAACGCCTCACCTTGGGTAACTCTGAGAAAGGGCTGGACAACTGGGAGAGAATTTTCGGGTCTTCCCCCTCCCATCCCTGTCCCTTTGGACGAAAGGCCCTCACCTGCTGCTCCTCCTGCTTCTTGTCCTCGGCCTGGCTCAGGAGGAAGCCCTCCGCCAGGGCCACCGCCTGGCAGCAGGACTCCGCTCCACATTTCCTCACCCAGCTGGCCATCTCCGCCGGCAGGATGGCCAGGAACTGCTCCAGGATCACCAGGTCCAGCATTTGGTTCTTGGTGTGTCGCTCCGGCTTCAGCCACTCCCGGGAAAGACTGTGCAGCTGGCTGCAAACTTCTCGGGGGCCCTCAGCTGGCTCATAGCAGAATTGCCTAAAATGCTGGAGCTGCAAATGTGAGCTGACCTGCTCCTCACCCTGGATCTTCTCCGCAGTTCTTTCCAGGAATTCCTCATTGTTCCCAGTCTTAATGGCACCACGTTCGCTTTGTGCTTTAGGGCCAGCTGAATTTTGCTCTGCCATCTTTGATCCGTGTTCCAACAAAACTGAAAGGGGGGCAAAGAAATTATTCTGTATAATTTCTGTATAATGGGCAAAGATTGCCTTAGGAGGTAGAGCTACTAAGGCACTATAAAGGCGAAACAGTGCTGTCCTGGAAACTTGTTATATCGTCAGGATAAGAAGAAATCAGCAGGACTCCAGCTAAGAAGCAGGTCTCATCCCGGCCAGAATGGGAGGCAAAGGGAAACCAGAGACCTGAGCAGGAACCTTCACCATTGATCATGGATAAAACCCATTCCCTTGCTTAAAAGCCAGAAGATCTCTCCCTAACCCCAACCCAGCTCCGCTGATCCTGACACTATGCAACTTCCTAATAGTTCTCTTCTTCTCAAGGGTTTCCTTTGAGGCGTTACCTATTCTTTATCAGTGCCCCAGTGACCCCTTCCACTCCTGTCCTCTTCTCCGCAAGCCTCTCTTACACCAAACTACCTTAAGCTTGGCTTACTGACATTTGTCAGTCATTTGAAGAAACCATCCTTGTTTCGTTTAAAGGTCAATACACGATGCAGGCTGAATTAACTATGCCTGTGAGATAGAAATTCTGATACATGCCTATATTTCTCTTTTATTTCAGGCAAACCTTTTCATACTTAATAAAAACAGACACAAAATATATCTCCTGGTTTCTGACCTACACTGCACCAGCAGATGGAGGGTCCAATCCTGTCATAGCCTCACTGGGATGCAGCTCCTAATTTCCAAGGAGACCAGAAGTTTCATTCGCATCAGAAAGTGGGACTGTGCTTTGTTGAGGCTTGCTTTCTTCCTGTTGGGGTTTTTGAGCACCTCTTTGTTTTTTTCTTTTTTCATTTATTACCTCTTTTATTTTACCCCTTCACATGTATGGATTAATTTATCATCAGCCATTTGCATCTAGAAAGGACACCTACCCAGTTAATTCTGTCTGCAAACAAGTAATCACAGGGTCGGCTCCAGCTCTTTTCTGACCTTTAGCTATGCAATGGCAATAGCAATCCATTAAATAACTGGAAAAAAAATTCCTGCCGTTTGGAGTCACTCCAAATCTGCAGCAGCAGCTGCCTTGGCGATCCCTCTCCCACCTTCGTCTGATTTTGTCCACCTTTGGTTGCTGTTTCTCCAGCGAATCCAACAGAAATCAAGGGGAGCCTCCCGCCCACATGCAGGATTTGCGGTGGGGGGAGCCCGGTGAATGAGGGGGTGATTTTAGACAATCTAAATAGCCGTTTAATCGGCGTCGCGGCTCACTTCAAAGCCCCCCCCCCCGCGCACCTGCCAAATCCGGGGAGCGGCTCCGTCCGCCGAGCGGAGGAAGGAGGGGCATCTCCCCCGGCGCTGGGGGCGATCAAGGTGGGCCAGCCTGACAGGGCCTCCCTCTATGCGGTGGGGCGGGGACGGGGGCGGGTCCAGTGCCGTGCAATCAGACCCCCCCCCCCACGCACCCCAGGGACTGAGCTGGGGGGCCGCCCCCCCGGGCCTCCCCGCCCCTCCTCGCGCGCTCTCCTCCCCTGCACCCAGGCGGGGGCCCCGATTCACTCCAACGCACCGGGGCAACGGGGACGGAGTCCCGCCGGGGAGGCCCGAGGCGGCCCTTCCAAGCTCAAGCTGCAGGAAGACGGGGGGGGGGGCAGGAAAAGGCCGCGGGAGGCCCGCCCCTTTCCTCCCAGATCGCCTGCCTCTCTAGGAACGGCCGCTCGGCTCCCTCCCTCCCGCCTCTGCAGCCGAGCGGGCCGGTGCACCCTCGGCGCCCCCGGGCAGCTCCGCGGAGGCCGCTGGCCTGGCCTGGCCTGGCGCGCCTCTTCCCTTCCCGCTGCCCGGATCTGCGCGTGCCTGCAAGGCGAAGGCGAGGGAGGCGGCGGTTCTCGCCGGGGGGCTGCAAAGGGCCCCGCAGCTCCGCCACCGCCCGGGGCTCTGAACCCCTCAGGGGCTTGGGGGAAAGCGAGAGCATTGCCGTGGGGCGCCCGGGGAGCCCCGGCCATCGGGTGACATGGAAGTGAAGCGCGACGGCGCATGCTTGCATCTGCTCCTGAGGATTATTCCCCGCTGAATGCGGGGCTCACCTCCGTCTCAGCCGGAGTCCTCGTGGAGCCCACGTGGTGGGCGGCGCCGCCTCACTGGCCCCTTCTCCCCCTGGGCACCAGTGGCTGCCCTGCCCCGCTCCACTTGCCGGCTCCAGCCACAGGGGCGAGTCTCAGTGCAGGACACAAGTCAGAAGATCTCATGCGGGGCCGGCAGGGGATGGGGCCCGTGAATGGTAAGCCAAACAGCAAGCTGGCTCTTCCAGGGCCGCTAGGAGAACGGCAGCAGTGCCCCTCTCTCCGAAGCACTTTCCACTCTCCCAACAAGGTCCCTGGCACACAGACGGCTGGTTCTGTGACTGGTTTGTGGATTGCATGGGAACTGTGCGCCTGGCAGGAAAGTCCCAAATATCAGCCCCCATCCATCTGTCGGTGGTGGTGGGGCAGAGCGGGCGGTTGTGCTCCCTGCCAGCTCCACTGAGAACGGGAAGGGCAGTTGTAGGGCCCAGGAAGAGCCACTGAGGCTGCTAGTGGGGAGGCTGAAGTCCAGGACCAGCAAGGGGGCCTCCTCTGAAATGCTCTGCGCTCTGTGTGCAGGGGCAGCTAGATGGGTCAAAGCTGAGGCGGCTCCATGCATGAGTGAAACGGTGGTTCAGGCAGGACTGATTCGCTCCGTCAGGTCCTGGAGAACAGCTTGGGATGAGCCAGGCCTGTGGAAGAGGGATGGGCACTGTCAGAACCAGAGTGGAACCAGACTGCTAGCACTAAACAGAGCAATGGTGGCAGAACAGTTCTTAAACCGAGGACGAGTTGGTGAGAGCACCGCTAGTCCCCGCACTGGTCTGCAGAGAGCAGGATACAAGGAAGGAAGCGAGCAGACAATTTATTTCTATTCATATCCCACCTTCCTTCTTTCAAGAAAACTCAGGGAGGCGTACATGGTTCTCCTCTCCTCAACCTCATCCTCACAGCAACAACCCTGTGAGGTAGGTTGGGCTGAGAGTCTGTGACTGGTCCAAAGCTAGTCCCAGTCTTGCGCTGTTAACCACGACACCACGCTGGCTCTCAGCCAGCATGCAAAGCATGTTTTCATATCCCAGAGAAGAACATTCAGAGTGGTCTTGAGATGGGAAGTGACATCAGAGTGAGCTGCAAATGCAATTCCATTACAGGGTTGGGTGGCTTAAATTACCCCTACATTGACTGGATAAATGCAGGTATCAGTCATGACAGGGGATGCCATGCATGTGCTTAGAAGAGGGAAGTTGATTAGTTTGGAAACTCTCCCTATTTCACCTTGGCGGGCTGGCTTGGGAGGTGAGCCACGTGAGCAAATGCCACTTGCAGCCACTTCACTGACAACTGCTCATATCCAATTAACAATGTTTCTTGGTGACAAACGGAGAAAGATACCGAACTAGATTGATTCCTGGGTGAAGCCAGGTGGCTTTCCTCACTTGTGCACTTCCACTTTCTTTGATAAATGTCTTATTGAGGAATAACTTGATTCCTTTTCTGGAGTACTAAGCCATGGTTGCAGAACAGAAGAGATAGCAAGCATTTGTGGAGAAGAATCAAGGGACAGTGAAACGATCTGCTGCCCCAAGGGCTGAGCTGGCTTGACACACAGAAGAAAGCCCTGAGAGGGAGACAGTGACAGTTTCCCTGCCCGGAAGAATGTCTTGCATTTCTAGGTCAAGAAAAGGCATCCATAAGCAGCTGCTGCGCCTTGGTGGAGTTGGGAAGGGTTTGGAAGTGCTTGTCACGGGGAGGGGAAGAGGCCGCTTGGCTTGCTGCGTTGCTGGACGTGGCCGTGTCAGCGCAGGGGCCTGCGGCTGCAGCTGCATCCGGGAGGCCGGCGTTGCGCTCCGTCGTCGCTGCCGAGCTCCCTCGCTGGCCCGGGTCCCTCGCCCTCATCCTCTGCCCCGGGCGGGTCCTTGGGAAGAAAGGAGGGGCTCCTGCGGGATGGGCCAGGCGCTTAAGGGACCAAGAGCCGAAGCGCAGCCATTGCCGAGCGGGACCAGGCCGCTCGGCCGGGAAAGGGGGTAGCCGGGCATTGCTCCGCCCCGGAGGAGCGCGCCGCCCGGGCGAGGAACCGAGAGCGCGGCCCCCGCTCGCCGGGGCGCGGGGAAGGGCCGAGTGCCCGCCGCGGCGGAGCGGGGGCGCCCGAGAGGGCGGGGCGGGGCGGGGGCGGGGCCTCCCCGGAAGGGCCCCGCAGCCCTTCCGCGCGTCGTGCCCGGGGCTCGGCGGCGCGCAGGTGAGGCGCGCCCGGTCTCGTCGGGGAGGGAGGGGCCGCGTGTCTGGATCGGTGCCGGAGCCGCCGCTCGACGCGCTCCCGCCCCCGCCGGAGCCTCCCGCGCGGGAAGGGGGTCCGAGCGGCGCCCGCGCGTCCCGCTTGGGCACGGGACCCCTCGCCCCCTCCCGAGGCGGCGGGCCCGCAGGACAGCGCAGGGAGCCCGGTGCCCCAGGCCGGCCCGCCCGCCCGCTCGCAGGGCGCTGGTTGGGGGGCGCCGTTACAGACGCGCCGGCGCCGCGCTCCGGAGGTGGCTAGCGGAGACACTTCCGCCGCTGCGGGGCGGGGGGGCGAGAGGAGCTTGTGGCCGCTTTGCTGCGGGCAGAAGCGCCCCCACTCTGCCCACCGCCCCTCTCCCTTCCCCAGAGCTCGGGGAACCGGGGGAACCGGGAATGAACCTGCTGCCCTGCCTGCAGAAGGCCTGCTTCCCTCCCTCCTGTCTCATCGTGGCCTGGCAGCAAAGGAGTTCTTCTTCGAAAGTGGCCTGCTGTTACCGAGCTGTAGTTTCTCCTTGTGCAGCAAGGTATGCTGAGAGGTGAACAAGAAAAAGAACTTTGCTTTATTTGCATCCCATTCCATATCCAGGCAGGTTCCGGAAAAGCGTTGCCATCACTGGAGGTCCAACCCAAAGAGGCCCCGATGCCATTAGGGCTGGGAGAAGCAGAGAATTCGGGGAGGAAATGGCGCAGGAGGTCCTGGGTGAGGACATGGCCAGCCCACACGTGCAGCTGCAGCGTTTTGGGTGCCTCCGCTATGAGGCAGCCAAGGGACCCCGGAAGGCCTGCAGCCAAGTCCATCAACTTAACAGTCAGTGGCTGAAGCCGGAGCGACACACGAAAAATCAAATGCTGGACCTGGTGGTGCTCGAGCAGTTCCTGGCCGTCCTGCCAGCAGAAGTGGCGAACTGGGTGAAGGAATGCGGAGCGGAGACGAGTTGCCAGGCAGTGGCCCTGGCGGAGGGCTTCCTCCTGAGCCAGGCCGAGGACAGGAGGCAGGAGCAGCAGCAGGTGAGGGCGTTTCATCCAAGGGGGCCAGAATGGGAGGGGGGAGATGCTCCACATACCTTCTGATTCCCCAGCTCATTCTGGAAATCGCCCAGGGACAGGTGCCCAATGCTTTGCGTCTCTGATTTTCTTTCTTCGCCTTCTTATGTCCTGCATCCTGGTTGCCATTTCTGGTAAAGGATCTTATTGCAGAAGCGGGACCTGATTCCCCTGCATGGAAAGAGGCTCCATTGGGCACAAGGAAGAGCTCGGCACAAAGGGGGATCTGGCAGGAGGAAGACAGACGTGCTGCCTGGCAGGGTAAATATTCCTCTGGGAGTGCATGTATTTCAACCATGTATTTTCATTCTTGGAAAGAGAAGCCAGATGGGGCTTGCTCTTATTCTCCCAGCACTTCTGCATCTTCTCTGTGGAAACTCACTTTTTCTAGGCTTTTATAGAATGTTGAAATTTCATTACATGGAGACTTCACAGAAGGAAAGCAACAGCTTGTTTTCTAGTCCAGTCCCTGAATGGGGAAACAGGCATCTTTTCCCATCTGAACTATGAAAATGCTAATGTTGTTACCTTTGCATTTATATCCTGCCTGTTCCTGTTGCACGGAACCCAATGCAGTGCCCACAGTATTCCTCCGCTCCACTTTTATCCTTTTTTAACTTGTGAGGTAGAGCAGGCTGGGAGTCTGTGACTGGCCCAGTACTGCCCAGTGAGCGTCATGGCCAACTGGAGTCTTGAACCTGGATCAGCCGTGTCCAGACGCCAGCCCATGAATCGCCACACCAAATGGGCTCCTGTAATACCCAGGTGTAGTTCTGCTTACATTGCCGTTTTGTGTGTTCATAGACAAGCACATGCTCCTGACTTTCCTTTGTCTCTTGCAGGGCCTGAAATGAGGCCAGCTGTGGCTACTCAGCCTTCTCTTGTGGAACCAGAGAAAGCGGGACCGGATCAGGTATGGGGAAAGTTCACAAGGGGGAGAGGCAGGAAGCAGCCTTCATGTCTCCATCTCTTGCTTGTCTGAGTGCCTGGAAACATCACTTTCTCCTTTTCCTCAGACAAGGACTCTTTTCTGCTTTTCCTCCTTAATATCTTACGGAGGGCCCTGCTGGCCTGAGCAGAGTCCTCTCTGATGTCCAGCAACCTTTTTCAATTATACACAGAACAATGCACAAGAAAAAAAGTAAAACAGAATAGTGCACAGCTGAGGTGCTAACCATTTAAAACTGTGTAGGTTAAAACAGCAGTACTGCTAAAATTATCAAGATAAAATCTGTTATTAAAATGTCTAGAAAATAAAGGGGGTTTTTTGTTTTGTTTTTTTGCTTTGGGCTGCAAATATTGTAAGAAGAGCACCAGGTGAACTGCTTTCAGGAGTCTATTCCATAGGTGGGGCACAACTACTGGAAAGCATTCTCTTCTACCTGCTGTCATCCTTACCTGCTTGTAGGATGGCTTCCAGAAGTTCCTCTGAGACAGATCCTAGAGGCCATGTAGGTATATATTGGAGCAACCAGTTCTTCAGGTGTCCCGGCAAGGGTTTGGCATATCCAATTTGATTATCCAGTTTGCTGAGTGTTATTCCTGAGAGGGAAACCTTTTCTTTTGTCACCCAGATTCTGGTAACTTTTGAGGAGGTCGCTGTGTCCTTCACGGAGGAGGAGTGGGCCCTGCTGGATGCCGACCAGAGAGCCC